GTCCGTGTGGTGTTCCCCCTTTCCCCTGCATCCCCCTATAGCCCCACGGTACCCAATGGGTGTTTAGGCCTTCGTGGTAGTTGGAGTATAAAAAAAAGTCCGCCTCGCAGAACGAACTCGAGGACGTACCGGTTGGATTTTGTAGGGGATGCAGCACCATTGTTAATATACTGTCAATAGTCACCGGGGCATAGACGATGACTTCTTTTGGGACTTTATCCGCCAAGTAGTGGAGTGACCTTAGATTTAAACCTTCATTAAAAAAAATGTTTATACTCTAACAACCACGAAGGCCTAAGAGCCCTAAACGCCCTTGGGGTACCGTGGGGCATGAATACGGTAATTCAGATTTATGATCTGATAGATCTCGTCAAACTGAATAAAAAGCTCGTATGAACTTATGTTACAGTTTCGTTACTGAGATACAGGGTGTTCAAGTTCATTTAAATAAATACTTATTTTTATTAATCGACTGTTTAAGGCATTGGCGGGTTTATATGGAATCCACTTCAATGCAAATCATCAAAATACAGCTTACATTGCAAACATGATGCCGTATTCAGACATTTCGTCGAAATGTAGTATTTGGACCTCAAAGTACACTAATAGTTCATCAGAAAACGATAACTATCAATCGTCCCCTAAGCCGAACAACGTTATACTAAACGAAACGAATTAATTAATAGCTTTTTACAGACCCCTTTTGACAAGAATTGACAAGTTTGAGATGTACTACATATAAGCCATTGGGCACATCTGAGCTAAGAAAATGAAAGTTTTGTCCAATAACTGATTTTAAATTTCTCCAAAAACACTTACGTAATTGTATATATTCCCTGTGTTAATCTGGTGTAAAGCCTCTTTGTAGAAATATCTAGGGGTGCGTCTATGACCAACGTCACTGACACACATTTTCGTAAATATAGGAACTACAGTCGTTAGACGACGGGAGTGACCTAGTTGTTAGTTCTTAGGGGGTGAATGTTTACCGCCACCTCCTATAACGGAATTAGATTGGGATTGACACCGTGACACAATATCACATGAATCCGAGTGTCTTTCATCACCTCATTTTATCTTTTTCATGCGTCTGTAATTTATAAACTTTGATATAATAGGGGAACATTGAATACATTTACAGAGTTTTTACTAGGAAAAAACGTGTTACTTGTGTTTGGTAACAATTTTAATCCAATCATATCAGGGATTACATCTCGGAATGAGATATAATAAGTTGTAAAACCGTAGAAACCTTTGTCGTTCTAATAAAAGTGGTCTCAAAAGTCTCGGGAAACAAGTGTCTTTAGATTTCAAATATCAAGTCACAAAATCGTTTTTTTGCAAAGATCTTGCCTGTACCATACATATGCGTTTGTTGGTGGCACAATTCTTCGTTTGGCTTCTGCAGTTTTATTTCAATTTTGGGTAGTCAACCCTTATAAGCACAGAATTACCCTGTAGCCCCTCGATTTTTGTCAAAGCTATATCCTAGATATGTACTTTCATGGGGCTTCTACAACATATACGACTTTGCTGGTGTCACAACTCTTCATTTGAATTCAGCGATTTTTTTCAGGTTTGAGCAGTTAAGTCTTGTAGGCGTAGAATCACCCTGTAGTCGCCAGATTTTTCGCGAAGTTATACCGTAGACATGTACTCCTAAATGGCTTCTACAACATATATGTCTTAATTATTTATAGACGTATTAGTTATTAGGGCTAACGGTTGACCTTGCCCTCTATCTCAAAAACAATTAATTGTTCGAAAAAATGTATTAAATAAAAGTTACTATTCAGGATAAATGCAAATATCATTATACCCATAGCCCATAGGAAGCGACATATTTGCAAAAAACGATTTTGGTAACCCCGGACACGACATTTCGACTTTTGAGACAACTTTTGAAATGGCAAAATTTACACCTTGTAACCTCCCATTCCGAGGTTAACACTCTTTTATGGCTTATATAATTGGACAGTTGGTAGACATCCAGAATTTAGCTTTGGTATTAACGGGTGACTCCAAATTCGTGCCCACGGCAATCCAATTCAGAATTCTTAAATAAAAATGTATTTTTATGGAGCCTCTAAACGGGCAATATGAATGGCCCTGCTATACAGGGGGTTTCAGAAAGGCGAGAAAATTCTAGGGTAGGAATAAGTACATCAAAATAGTTCCTATATGGACCCAATGATGCTCCCCTATACCGATAGAGAGTGATGAAGTTTTATTTACTTTGAGTTATGCTGTGTTAGAACTTGGGCGTCGGTATAATCCAACGAAAACTATTAACTCATTTAGTTCGCCAGGGACGAACTAGCCATAAACGCTAATTATTTTACACCTTGAATAATAAGGACTTAAAAATAATATTTTTGGAAATTGGAAAGTGCCTCGATAGTGTTGACTGTACCATCTACATTAATAACGCGATTATTTCAAGAAATTTATTCATGTTTGATTTCGACAATATCAACCGTTTTTAAAAAAAAATATCCATAGTTTTTCAGGTCGCTGATGACGAGATTTACCAAATTTTGAAAACTGGGGTACCTGTATTCGGATTCGGTTTATAAATGAATCAAAATAATAAGTCTGAACTACATTACCCGAGAACAATAGTCGTTGCAACTGTTCTACATGCTTTTGGCATTATTTTATATTGGTGACTATAACGGAAAAAGTGATAGAAATAGTGGAGTGAAGCGCAGTAGAGATGAGGGTTTCTTTAGAAAAATAGATTCATATTTTATACTAGCTCATACAAATATTAGTGATGCTGCTTCTATAACTACATTAACGATGCTTTCACATCCAATAGCATTATCCTCTTACTGAGGCTTTCCAGTGCATGCCGGTATAACATCCATCGTCATCTGATTCTGATCAGATAAGCAATTCGCTTTCACTATCTAAATTTTCCTTGAACTTCTTCTGGTATGTTGGGAAAAGCATAGATAGATGATCCAACAAGAGCTATGTTAAAGCCCTGGGTGCCTCGGCCAATCGGAATCACGCAAGAAATGACAGTCCGTAGAGAACTTACCACCGTGCTGCCGTTGTATGAAAAAAAGATGAACATCCGCTGGTCGTCACCGAAACTAGTAGCTACTACAATTTACCATACACTAATCAGCGACAAAAGGAATAAACGTTAAGTAATCATTTTCAAGCAGTTACCATTAATTTTGTTTCGCTTGTTCTATATTCTTTTGAATAAAGCTTTTTTTGGTTCATTATTTTATGTCCCATTTAAAAAAATACTTTGAAATAATTCTGTGTTTGAGCTATTGAAGTTAGAAAAACATCTTTTTCTCATGCTGGTGGCCCTGCGTAATAGATTTCCTGTTAAGGTAGTTCTCATATTAGAACAGATCGTAAAACCTAACATAGGATTTTGCTCAACCATTAGATTTTACAGGGTCGCATATGACGAAATGCTCATTTCTAGCCTCAATATCTCAAAAAAGTTGAATTCAGGCACGGACGCTAAAATATAAACAAATTTAAAATCTTAAGGAGAATCTCAGAATACAAAAATAAAATGATTTTCCATTGAAAAAATATTTGGTCTGCTTTCACTTTTATATCATAATGTATATCAAACATAATTTTACTTTTTTTTCAATACCCCATAATAAGGAATCTATGGTACTCCGTCTGATCCTTGACACACCCTGTGCGATTCTAGGAGTCTTCAAACATTTAAAATGACTTTTCTCGAAACTTACTTTTTGTGAAATTCATCTTTTCTCCTGTACTCTTCATATGTACACCATAAAAGGAACCAAACACATTTAGAATGACTTCAGATATCATTTCAGCAAGGCAAAACACGTACGGGAGCGACCATTTGAGAAGGAAAGCCATGCTGGTTTCAATAAAAACTGTCTTCAACCTTTTCCACAACTATCAAGGTGAAAGCCCAACGTTGAGCTACATGCCTTTTCGTAACGCCGACGACTATCCTATAATAGATATAGTTTGGTGTGGATTATAAATTATCCATACCGATAAAAAGACCTGCTTTTATCCAGCGAAAATTGACTGCAACACTAGAACTATGAACATCTACGCAGTTTTACATGTTTTCCAGTTAGATACGAATTTAATGGGAATGCCATCAAATGTCAAACTGGCGGCTAAAGCTTGATCAGCGATTGACGTATTCTACCCTAAACGGATAATAAACATTTTCGATGAAAACTTTTTTCAGTAAATCGGGTGCGTGGATTTCAAATCTGATGTCAATTTATTTAATGTCAAATTGTTCATTGGCAAATGAAGTAGCTGCTAGGTGAACGATAGGGCTGGGTTTGTGAATAAATTGTCGTACTTTGTACTACTCTGTAACAATTTCAGCATTCGCAATTGCTTGACGTACCTGTTCCATGCGTTCGGAAATAGAACGAAATCATTCTGAAACGTCAGAAGTGCACTTTTCATCCCACACTCCTAACTTTAGGAGTCAGATTTTTGTCACTTATGCTCATGGTTTATTATTTGCTTACTTTATTTGGTTAAAAAAGTGCTCAAAATTGACAAAATATATATTTTTCACGGGAAATGGACCTCGACCAGCGTTTCTTATAACAAAAAAAAAACTGCCACAGAAAACGTGGGCTGTCATCATGGTCATTACATGACTGTAATAATTTAGGCGTTCGAAAAATAAAGTTACACAGTATTCCAGGATAAAATATATCATCTGCCAATCTACATTCACTTACTGTGCACGGTATTGCATTACCAAGTGGTTCATAAACGCATCCCTTCTAGTTTCAAATTGATATTTAGTAGGAAAAATATGACATTACATAAGAAATTTAACGTAAAGTCACAAAATTATTGCGTAGTGTTCTTTTTGGGCCCGTAATTTTGTACTCCTAATTTGATCTTAGAATGTTCTGTTGTTGCTTGTTGCCACGTTTTGACATGAGGAAATATAGTGGTAATAGTGGAACAAGGATAAAAACCAAAACAAATATTTCTACAAACACCTATATTACAAAAACAAAACAAAGAGACTTTACAGAATGTACAGCATGTCGCATGCTTCAATGTAACTAAAATTGGTTTAAGAGTCAAAGCCATTATGTATATATAAAAGTACAAAAAATCCCAAAAATATCGACAGAAAAATAGGGATTTATTTAGTTCTCGAATTTACAAAACTAGATTATATTTACCATTTTTTTGAGATTGGTATATAAATCCGGGTAGGTTTCATTATTTCAAGTCTAGTAGCAACAAAACCGGAATATTTCCAACTGGGCGATGGAATTTTGTAGTAACACTTTTATATCCCTGAAGTGTTTTATACATTTCTGTAATTTGTTTCTGGTGTAAATTTAAATAATATGGAATAATCATCTCACTAGATATTTTCTTCAGGGCCTTTGGCAGCAATTCATAACCGATGAGATATCAAGTTTATTTGGGGATAATATTCTTCTTGCTTAAATGTCTTATAATTTCGATTGAGAAATTTTATATGCTTATATTATGAAATCAGAAATGTTTCAATGAACTATGGATATCAAGAAACCTATCCGAATAGTTATTTACTTAAGGTAGAAAGTATACTGAAATTTAGTACATCAACAGTAAAATTCATTGAAATAGCTCATTTCCTGAAATTTTCTGCCGTACTGTCAATTTCGTGATTCATTAGGTTCAGATATCTGTCTACATAAAAACGTTTCCAAAATTTGAGTCACAGTTTTTATTCTATCAAATTTCCAAAACAGTATTGAAAAATTATTCAGCATACTTTCCACCGATTAAAGTTGTACCTAGTACTCTTAACTACAATAATTTACAGAATTACAGCTAATATGGCAGATTCACTGGCAAAAATACACAAATACTTTCCGTATTCTACCGCTTGATAAATATATACGTATTGAACGTTCTCCCTGAGTGTCAAATGTTATATTACAGTTTAATTCCCTAGAAATTATGAAAAGTCGAGGTCTGTACTTTGAGGGATACATTTGGCCCTGATATTTCTTAATTCCCAATTATTGCTTTCAATGTGTGTTGTTACATACAGGGTGATTCAGAAAACAGTTTTAATTTTTCTAAGGTTGAGAAGACGTTCAAAAGTAACACGAACAACACGTGGTTGGGCCAGTTCAGATTAAACAAAAAGCAAAAGTGTAAAACACGAGGTAATCCCAAAAATAAGGTCTATTTTTTAAAGAGAGAAAAAAGCTAGTTACAACAAAGACATTAAATAGATCAAGTTAGCCACACAGGCCCATACCAATTAGTCTAAAGACATCCTCTGCCTGCTCTACCGGTAGTACCGACCATCTGGCAACGTCGTCCCTCTCGCATACCGGTAGTAAAGGACACTCATGAAGACCGGCACACCCACCCGCTAGTGAACCCAGGGCAGGAGAAGAAGAGACGTATATCGAAAACATTTTTCTGTCAATCTGTTTTAAGGGCAAACGTAAAGGAAAATCTATGGATGAGTGAAATATGTCCAATATGTGCGTAGAATTACCGGGGTTCAGAACGTATAAATATACTAACATCAAAAGATTGAGATATACTAACACCTACCCCTTACAACCCAGAATTCTTAATCACTACAATAATTTTTCTGAAAATGATTAAGAGCTTCTGAAACGTCAAAACATGAAGTTTGAGAGATTAGTTTTTTGTGTTCTAGCCCCCAGCTCCGCTGCAACTGACCGATTTAAAAAAAAATAAATAAATACAAAGCTTCTTCGTCCTTGAGATAGTAGTAACCTTGTGTGAAAATATCATCCCAATTAGGGTGGTGCTTTCCAAGATATAGATGGGCCAAGGATTAGCGGGCGGACAGTCAGACCGACGGAAATGAGTGACATGGTTTTTTGTGGAGTGCATGTCATATAACATCCCAAACATAATATCGCATTTTAGAATGTTTTGGGAGGTAAAATTAGGTTCAATGCTACCTCAACGACCAGGCGGCGACCTGATTTGACATGGACATACAAAAACTGTCACAGCGTCTACAATGCATCAATCGAAGCGGCGATTATGCAGAAAAACAGATCAATGTTTAGTTTTACAATGATGTATCAATTATTTATTGGAAATAAACAATTTTTGTAAAATAAAAGACTTTTTGGGATCACCCTCGTATCACTAGTACCTCTGCCCTAGGAATATTTCGTTTTTTGAAACACCTTGTATATTCTTTTCTACCACGTTTGGCATATATTCGATTGCAATTGGTTTAAGCTATAGATGAGGAATTGTGACCTCCAATTTGCACATTTTACACACACCAAGCTTTCCCAATTTGATATTTACATTACGTCTTGAGCATTTTTGGCATATTTGTATAATTCATATAAAAGAGCAGCTTCAATATGTCTGACTAAATCATGATGATTCTGAATCACTTTGTAATAAGGGAAATTGATGATAACTATCTCAATTCGACTCGGCCGATAACTCCGCTATTATGCATGGTATATAAAAAAAATAAAGTACAGATATTGTAGCAAACAGTATGCTCCTGATTTGGAATATATTTCTTCATGATGATTCATAACTACATAGTGATTTAAACATTCATTTTTTAAATGGAAAGCCCTACATTTTATTTCAGGTTTGGATAGGCCCTTCTAAACGATGCAATTTGATGTAAGATATAAGGTTTGATTTTCAAATTATTGAACTATTGGACAATCCATTGAAAAAACACAACTTTGACAACTCTCAAAGTACTGATTTTTTTTAGTGACATTTTATGATCTCATATCTTCTCCTTGTTTACGTACTTCATACATTTTCAGTTTTTTGAATAACATTGTGGTCATAAACACCATATCAACTATTTCTTACCATGTTCATTGTATCGTAATTTTTACATTCTATGATTTCCCTTTTCACAAGCATTGTTTCAGTTATTAGGTTCATAAGGGTTATGACTGGTTTTTTGGCTTACTAAAAGGACAAGGACACCTTCTTGATCTTTTGACTTTTTTGCATAAGGTTGGGTAGATTTAATTTATAATAAAAAAATACCAATTCTAATGACCTGCGGTTAGCAGTTAAACGCAACTTTTTATTTTAAAATGTATTGTCACATTTTTTCTTTACCTTCATATCAGATTTACAAATGGGTTAGCTGCAACTCAAAAACTTTAAATAAAAAACCTTATGAAAAGGAGAATCAACGGATGTGAAAATAAACAGAGTTTTTGAGCAATCGTTCTTGACTACCCTGTATAAACTATCGAAAGAACTGAAACAGTAAGTAGCTAGGAAGAAAATACGGCACCATAAAATTTTCCTGCTAAAAAATGTAGTACACTAGATATAAAAGTTAAGGAGATGAGAGTTGTCAAAGTATTTTCAGATAAATTATCCAATACCTTAACGATTTGAAAACACAACCCTATAGAATGTTATAGCAAATTGCTTCATTTGAAAGGACCTATTCAAATCTGCAACAAAATAGGTACTTTTCATTTAAAAAAGTGCGGTTGGATCACCGGGTAGAGATGAAAATATTTACCAAGAAGCTTACATACCATGCGTAGTAGTAGAACTAGTAGGAGTATTATCTATAATAACGGTGTTACTGACCAAGCCCACACTAAAAACTTACCCTATGTACTTGAGAGTCGTTTTAATTTGGTATTACTGAAGCTTTTGCACGTGTTGTATCTTTTATACTATTGACCTTACGTATTGATGACCTCCTAGAAGGCTAGAAGTTTAAAAAATAAAATCCAATCATTGTGTGAAGTCTAGAACATGGTCACCCCCAGGAGGGACAAGGGGATGGTGTACCGCAACTGAGAATCCAGTTTGCCCCGAAAATTCGCATATTTGGAATAGCATTGTGTAACATATTGGTGATTTTCAGGAAATGACGCCCTTTCACAAAAAGTTACCTCTTGCCGATAATCCCTTGAAAAAAATTCCTGCGGACACCCATGGTTTAGTAATTCACACTTCAACAGGTCTATTCCTACAAATTATGAAATCGGCAACGTATGAAATAACAAAAAAAAAGTCGTAAAATATAAACACCTGTATAAAAATAAATTCTTTTAAATTATGCGTTCAAAAGATTTCCTCAATTTATAAAAAGAATCACACAATCCACAATGATCATCAAAAAAATGCGGTAAAAAACTAAAATAAAAATAAACAGTTTTGTATAAAGAAAACTAACACATTTTTCACGAATTGAAATTCCAGTTTTATCATGATAAAAATTCTCTTCATTGCAAAAAGTAAATCAACATATGTTTCCGAGTTGCAATCTGTCCGATTTTTCATAACGCTTTCTTTCAAACAATTTTTTTCATCAATGTAACTGCTACAGTTTCATTCTGCCTCTCATTTTCAAAAAATGATCTATATCCTGCTGTAATAGATATTTTCATAATTTAAAACAATATTTTGACACTGGCAGTGAATTAAAATTATAAGATCAAGAGTATCGCTAGATCTTACAATTTGAACACAATATTTTCAGACATTATTATTATAGACATCTCAATTTTTGCAAAATCAGCTTTAACTCAGCTTTCTACAGACAGTTTGGAAATAACAAATAATCTGAAGAAGAACTGATTTTGCAATATCAATCTGCCAAAAGTATAGCAGACTATTCAAGCCTTTGGGACGCTTTTTTAAATCCCACTAAAATATTGACCATTCACAAAAAATATCCCCTACGGCAAAATCTTGATTTTACCTGAAAATCAAGCAATTCACAGCGGGAATTATTTTACGTCTCGAATGCTTCGCTTATCAAAAGAGACATTTTTCATGGGCTTTTGCAAAATATGCGTCACCTTCTATAGTTTTTCAACAGGCACCAATTTAATTGGTGCGATTCCAAATGCTTACATACTTGAGATCATGAACTGAACAGAACGGCTGAATACAAACTAAGTACAACTGTCTATACTTCTCTTATGCATCCGTTACCCCTCCATTTTCACATCTAACTGTAATATTCGCAAAAACGAATTTTCTTATTAATCTTCGACGCAGGTCGAGGTTCTAAGAAACGCATTTATAATAATTGTCTCAGTCCAAAAAGTATGGAAACGTCAAGTTATCTCGAAAAATGTATTTCCTTGAGAATAAACTTGTGAAGTTTAAAAAAGGCCATCTAACGAAAAGCTTCAGTATGACCCCGACCATTACATTTGAAGGTTAAGAGTGTTTTCTAAAATGGAAACACATATTTTTCACACCAAAAATGCAAAGAGTGAGAAGTGTTCATTCAAGTCCTTCATGAACTTGAATGTGACCTACAAGGTCATTTTAAGGCATCCAGAAGGTATGGAAAGAACCGCATATCTCAAAAATATGCTTTCTAGAGAAAAATGTTGTAAAACCAAGTTGTGAGGTTGAAAGAGTCATCGAATGGCGACCTTGATCAGGATCTTAAAGGTTTTACAATGGTCAAAGATTTAGCGACACGTGAAATTACTATTCCGAAAGCAAGGAGTATCCCATAAAAAAATAATTTGACCTTGAAAGTCATAGTCAAGGTGACAGTCGATTACATGACCGAAAAATGTTTCGCTTTTTCATATCATCGACAAAAAAAGTAGTTCATTTAAAATTCATTCGTCCTTCAAATTTTGTTGGAGGTCATAGTCAATGACATCGGCAAGGCTATACTGAAACGTGAAATTGTTCTCCATTTGCATTTTAGCAATCAAAAATAGATATTTCTCGATGAAAATTAATTTCCTTACATTTAAGAAAACTATCTTGACCTTCAACTGAGCTTTAATGTCGTAGTTCACGTTCAAGGTCACCAACGGATAACCTTAACAAACCTTTCTACTTCGTTCTACTACATTTTTCTCTATGAAACGTATATACCGAGGTACTTTGTCCTTTCCATACTTTTTGACATCCTCAAATGACCTTGAAGGCCAACATCATGGACAAGGATATACTGAACCTAAAATCTTCCGCTCTTTACATTTCCGTTGCCAGAAATAGGGGTTTCCATTTAAGAACTTTCTTGATCTAATTTTCCATTTCTTTTATTCGTATTGAGTGCGTTAGGTAGGGTTACGAGGAAGACCAGCTATTCCCCTAGAAATGAAAGTTGAACTTCGCCTTTTCCGGGTAGCAGTTTCATATCTTTGTACCTTGCCATCAATGAAGATGATTATGATTAAAATGTGTCTATACTTTTTGAACAGCCTGCATATCAAAGTACCGTGACTACTGTTAGGAAGTTTAATACGCATTTTAAAACGGATTTTAAAACCGTCTACAATAGAAGCGGTCGTATCGGCCCGTTCTCAACGAGTTAGAATTGGAAGCTTAGCCACTCTGTTTGGCAGATGTAGAATATTCTGTACAATTCGCATATTGAAGCCCAACCTGCGAAAAAAACCAACGGATAAATACTTCTAGGCACGCTATTATATATTAATATCGATGATTTGTCATTGCAAGTCTAGAATTCTAGTAATGCTAAAATAGTCGTCTAGATCTCGATCTCAGCTGGTCTTCGAGGAACTGTGGTGGTGCATATCAACATCTCTGTCACTTCGGTCACGTCTTATAATCATCTGGAAGAGATTAGATCATTCAGATCGAATAAATAACGATAAGACGAGAATATAAAATACTGAAGATAGCATGCACGTGAAAAAAGCCATGAGTGCTGTTAGTATTGGTTAGTAAGTTATCTAAGCCTGCATTTAAGGACTCAACAGCTGCACCGCTGCCTAAAGCCGATAAAAACAAATACGTGTTGCATGTAAGCATTTCTGTGATGAGTTTGTTGTCATGCCGTCTAGAAACTATTGTTCTTTTCAGTGTTTTATCGTTCTATGCATAAATATCGTCTGCGACTGACTGTTGACAAAACAAATTTGGATGAGGTGGTGGATGAGTGGGGAAGGGGTTAAGTTTGATTTATGAATTTTGTACTTTGTTATTGAACATTCGTCCTTCTCGTACAGCTGTTACCTGCGTGCAACCTATCTTTTGAAGCTGAAAAATATTGCAAGAAAAATATCCAAGGAGGTTACGTTTTCTGAACATAGCCTCTTTTTGTTGTCAGAACAAACTGGGGTGGGCAGCTAGACCCCGTTTTAGGAGTATCCATCAAGTTCAACAGGACACCCTGTATAAATCACTGAAAATGAGTGAACTTAGCCCACTAAAGCATACTTCATAAGCGCCAAGATTCAGTTGCTGAATGCAGTCTATAATATGGTTGTTCAAAATGAAACTACTAACCAGATTGAGAGATAGGTGTCAACCTAACAGCTATCCATATTACATGTTATTTGAAGTTATTCGTATAATTCCAAAATAGGATAGAGAAAAGTATTTGGCATACAGATTGGTCATATGACAGACAAGAGCTTTGTATTGAAGCATGTGTAAAAAATAAGAAGTATGAAGAATACTCGAACTTTTATTAATGTTCAAACCAATAAAAAGTGTATATCGGATGTAACGAAATGGCACTGTATGTTTCTACGTAAGGTATTTTTGAAAAAGCTTAAGGTAGGATTTGCTAACTTTGGTTTTAACCTTGAGCATCACCTTCAAGGTTATTTTAAGGTCAACGTTTGTTTCGAGTGTTCTTCACTTTGTCATAATGGCCCACAAAACATAATAAGACTTACAAACTAAGCATGCAAATATCGATAAAATGTATCGAAATAAACATAAAATTCTTCCAATTAGAACATTCCCTCAACTAAAACGTTAAACTAGCTAGAACTCTGTTGGGTAAGGGAAAAAAATTTAATCAATTTCTTGTAAAGAGTGCTTTTTCAGAGGATTATAACTTTAAAGTCGAATAAATCAAAAGAAAAGTTAAAAAGGCTGCAATTGTAGTGCTGTAATAGAAACCTGAAAGTATGCCATTGTTCACCAGAAATCAGCCTTTACTCCAACGTTGCTTCTGTTACATATCAACGACCTCCTCTCCTATACGATCAACCCCATCCACAGCTTTGCAATGGCAGCACTCTACATATAGGCATTCAGTGTGGCAAGCCGATCTCTACCAATGAGATGGAGAGAAGAAAACTAGCGACTCCGTCTCTGACGAAATATGTGGAAGTTATCACCGCTTCGAAACGCAGCAATGTGTTGCAGTTTAATGCTTCTAAAACACAGTACTTTACGAGTATCTTGACTAACGAAAAGCGCACTAGAGCTCATCCGGTTTCGATGGATGACCAAATTCTACCAAAGGGCCATTCGTTTCGGATGTACTTTTCTCCACGTAACCTCCTTATTCTTTACGTTATAAGGCCCAGATAAGCTCTAGCCTCTAGTACTGCTCAAATGTATGGGGTTCTGCCGCTCCGACTGCATTAATCAATCACGATGCTGTTCGATGACACAGATAGACGGCAAGCGATCTTGATCTTCTACCTACGCGGCTGCTGTAGTATAAAAAAATCTACAGCCGATGATCAAATATCAAATATATGACTTTGGATTTCCATGTCGCTCCATGCTCTCATGGAAATGCAACTTAAATGATAATAAACACGATAGGACAAAATGGCCAGAGATCACAATTGCAGCATTTTCAACAATTTTGTCTATCCCACTAAAGTTTTAATCATCCGAAAAACACCGTTAGTTAATATAATAAAAACACGTTGCATTTGAACGTTGATAATTACCAAGACGGCGCATTTTTAATTGTACTATGAAACAAGTAAAAATCGACAAAGTTACTCTTTGTCCACGTCTGCCTCCATATGTTCCTGAAACGTTAAAGAATACACGTTGTATTGACATGTTTTTCTTACACTTCCTCGGAAATGCATTACGAACAAATCAACAATTAATAAACATAAAAAATCACACAATATTCAGGAAACAAACATTCAAATACATTTATTTTTTTGTTACTTAATTAGGTGTTTTAACATGAAAGCTGAATAAAAACTGAAAGGGGCCACCAAGTGATTTGGCGAGTAGCAAGACTGTGAAGCGTCTGTTACTGCTACGCAAAACGTTCCAGTGCCACATGAACCTCATTTTTATTTATATTTTTTCTGAGCCGCGATAATTGAAAAATCTGTTAATTATATCATACAATATGAGCGCTGCACTTAGTCGTGTTTTTACTGATATATTAAAAAAACTCCATAGCATGTTTTTTTTAGAAAGAATGCTACTGCAGGGTGTCCTCAATGTTGGGGCTCTGCTTTACAGAGCGTATTGGTCAGGCAAAAATAAGCAAGTTTCCTTCGTAACACTAATACCAAAGCCTTAAGATAACCGAGACATCAAGTTGGCAAAAACTATGGATAAGCCATTCCAACCCTGCGTCCCTTCCCTCTACCTCAAATGGTATGTTGTTTGACTATGACTATGAGAGTCAGTATCCTAATCAGGGGCCACGCGATGTGTAGGTTAACCTATTAATAAACAAACCGCATTTTAAAACGGAAATTGGGACATTCCTACAGCAATAACTTTGTTATCGGTGTTAGCTTCCTGTGAGCCTTTTCAAGATCCTATTGATACTGCGCGAGTGTAACCGAGTATTCAGAACGTCGCCGTCGTCCTCGATATTTCCATCAGAGCTGCGTGCTTGTTTATATCGTGCAAAAGCCGTCTTGGTGGACACAGTAGAAGACCTAGACAGCCCCAAATGATGCAAATTTAGGAAAAAAGTAAAGATATTAATGTTTAATAATTACCAACAAAAAATAAGACAGGGCAATACTTGAAATGCCGTGCGAAATAAATAGCGAGTACTTTTCTTCAATTTCTTTTTTACATTTTCGGTGCTAGTATATCGCAAATTAACTTTATTATTTGAAACGTAGTTGTTTCTGAAGAGGAAAGTCACAACTTTCAGGACACCCTATATAAGAAGTAAAAAGTTTTCCTGGAAAAAGATATTAAATCTTACACCACCAAAACGTGTTACAATACCTGTTGCGATGCAGATGATGATGGCCCTGGCCTGGTATCGTAAAGGGGAAACGGTTGAGGCCTGGGGGCATGCCTCCCGCTAGAATCAGGTCTGTGGGGCTGCGACAGTCCACCGTTGCCGCTATTGCTGCCGCTTCCGCTGTTGACATATGCACCTGCCGGCGAGTGGTGTCTGTAACAGAGTAAACAAATTAGCGGGTCCTTTCAAAAATGATGAATAAGGCGAAACTCCAATGGCTCAAAACAATAGACAAAGGCCGAATAGCCCAACAAAATTTGCTGTTTCAAATGATGGCTGACAAAGCCGTACACAATTCGTGGAATGGTCAGTTTTAGTAACATACAGTCAAATTCAATTATGTTTTAGGGCAAGGCTTTCAATGAGCGTAGTGTGTGTGTCAGAGAGAGGGAATTATGTCCAATCGGTTTCGGATGAGTCTTAACGATTCTCCGAATTTAGGGGAACAGGATCGCCACAAATTCTGCAACATTGCGTTATACGTTTGACAGCACCGCATCTCGGTACATTCCAACGCAAGATTTCCACCTCCATACATTCTTGATAGTATAGTGCTATTAGCGTTTTCAATAAGAATCAATTGAATGCCGCATCTGTATTACGTAACTTAAAAAGTGACATGTCACTGATTTTTTTATGACATTATGTAGGTTTTTTGACAGTATTGAGGATTTTAATGTATATATTTGTTATTTTTTTTATTCATAATATGATGAAAATGTATTTGATTAATAAAATTTGTAAACTTCTAATCTTCTCTCCTTCGCTGCTGGAAGCTAATGTACCATCATTTCAAGCACAGAAAGGACGGTTATAAACTCGACCATCAAGAATATGTGAAGGAGTGTACCGAGATGCGGTGCTGTCAAACCAATAATCCAATTTTGTAAAATTTGTGGCGATCCTGAAGTTTCAGCTTCACCTAAGATCTGAAAAGCGTTAACACTTATCCGAAATCGATTCTAAGCCGATTCGATACATATTACGATTCAGAATTGTGTACGTTCCAAAAAGGTAAAATTTCAATGTAGTAGTCCAGTATAGTGTAATAGGTAGTATATTCGCATCTGCTCGGAGGAATATTCAGGTTCGATTTTTTTAAACCTTTTTCGAAATGGATGCGTTTGGATGAATCTGCATATCGTCAGGCCCAGAACCGCATCAAAAATCGTACAATTTTTTAAACGATTTCCACAAATTGTCTTTTTCGCTCAGGGCAACGTATTTTTAGGGTTTTCAGGATATTCTGAATAAAAAAGGTACTTGAGAAATTTTCTCAAAAGTTTATACCTTTTATAAGGATATAGGCGATTTAATATTTGCAAAAGTACAAAATATACCATTTTCCACCTCGAAAACAATATGAAAAAACGAACTTCCTAACAAACACAAAAGAATAAGAAGTTCCCTTTGGAAACTAAAGTTTGTTTTACTTTACCGTCAGTTGACATTTATTTATTTTGAAGTTTTCGCTTCAAGGTGTCGTATAAATTATAAATAAGAAAAAGTATCTACAAGTTGGTCGTGCGGATACCCAAAGCTGAAATCTGAATATTCCAGAATGAAAACATTTCACGCAGAACCATTTATCGAACAATAGCGGAGTGCGATCAGGGAATACCATGTCTCAATCTCCCAAAAAGTGGAAGTCCACGTGCATTTACTGCAAGAGGTCAGAGAGATTGGTGAGCAGAGCAAAAAATTAGGTTGGAATGTCAACAAGGAGACTAGCTAGTAAATAGAGATCTAAGAGTACGAAAAAAAAAAACAATTTCATGAGTTTGTTGGAATAAAATTGTTTTAACCATTTTAGACGCAATTTTGGGCTTTTGACAACGTGCAAATTTATTAAAAAGGATGATTTTTATTTTGAACAAAATTATTCAAAAAATCCGAATTAGAATATTTTTGCGAAGAGCTACGAAGATACTACCGGGACTAATACCAAGAGTGGCGGGGCTAAAATGAAGGTAGAAAATGGGTGGCGGGCCCCACCCGGATGTGCTAATACCAAAATAACGTTCCCTGGTTTTTATAATCAAACTGATTTCGGATTCGGAATCTACGGACCTGGTTTACCCAGGATACGAGTTTTAGTTCAGGTCACAGTCATGTCATGTTTTCAAAATATTATTATCTTTCACGGATAGATCACCCCTCAACATCCCTCGTAATTATCCTAAGATTGTTTTTATACTGAAACAGCCGCGTAGGCAGAAACCTAAATACCGGGAATCCCAAATGATGTTAAGTAGCTTAAAGACATTTGGTTAATCCTATTGTTGAACTGCCTAAGGTTAGCAGAACTGGGAAAAGCCTCCTCAGGTAGACGGTTCCACAATCTCGACAGCCTAGAAACAAAGGACCGGCTGTACCGGCCATTCGCCTGGATGTACGAAACTTGATAGTGTTAATGTAACTACTGAGACTCATCCAGCGGTTTTCATGTATTCATTGTACGACGTTTCGGTCTTTTTCAAGTACACTGTTAGGATGCGAGGCTGTACTCGAGGCTAGGTCTTATCTAGGCCTTGTATCCCGGTGTGTTTCAAATTCGAACCTCACCATTTGGATCTCAGAAACTGTCGAGATACGAAGCGCTTGAATAGGGACAAAGTTTATATTATATTGGAATTTGTACATTTTAATGGACTTTTTATTTTTAGTCCTTAATTCAGTGATGTATTTCCTCGGTTAAAGGTTAAAGATGGTATGGTAAAACCTAAACACAAATGGAAAATGTTAATGATGGTAATAATAATCATAAATAGGCATTGATAAATCATTGCTCGATTTATTTCCCTTCTTCTAGGTCTTCCAAACTTTGTTATTATGTTTAGTTTGAGGTCTGGTCTGATATACAAAATAAATGACAACCTAATAATTTCAAGGCCTACCTAGGAACTTCGGTTTTTCTGGAACAACTAAAGTTTGACAATGTCGTGTATTACATACACATTTTTGAAAGCAGAATTTAAAACTCTATTTATCTGCACAAAAATCAAATATGGCATCAATAAGAAAAAATAAAGTTGATGATAGAGGACAAGAAACAAAACGTTATATTGAAATGAGAACTATGCCATCTTGTAGAGGAGGTAAGGTGGCAATGTTGATGTGCAATTTAAATTAAAATCCCTCTTCAAATAAAGTCAAGCAAAAATGTAAACAACTTTGGAAAAATTCAGTTTTCTCTGACTCTCTTCGGAAGTACTTTAATTTAGAAACCTTCCAAGCGGCATTTTATTATTTACCTTAATACGCAACTTTGCCATCATTTAAGGGATTTCGTGTCTACCGTTTCCGAGATCTCAATGGGGAGGGTCGAATTTGAACCCCCGGTTATGTGGAGGAAAGTGTTTCTTAGCCCTAAACAATTTTGAATCCGCAGAATTTCTCAATGTAAAAAAAAATCTGATAACCTGTGTCCAAAGTCCGAGAGGTGCCGTACTGACAACCTGAAGCCAGTGGTCGACATGTACCTATACTAATTTTCGCGCAGGTACCGTTTGGTATGATTTGTTGGGTATCTTCTAGTGAGATATGTTAATCAATGGCAAGATATGGTACAGCAATCAAAGACCTTTAGCACAAATTGAAACTTACCTTACTGTAGGACTAGGCTGACCCCCAGCTGGGCTTCTATGAGAATTCTGGGGATAGGCATCTGGAGGTAAGCCGTTCTCTAGGGGTGTATGAGTAGACTGTGTATGACTGGGGTAACTGGAACTACCTGTACTATGCCTCGACCTCGGAAGGTCACCATGAGACGATGCTACTGACGGGTGAATATTATTTACTGAAAAAAAATAAGAAACAGGTTAATTCAGCCTATCTTCATTAAAATACCGATTTAGCAATTTACAAATCAACCCTTTTCATTTCATACCCCATTCAGGCATATCTGTTTACCTTGGAATGATCACATTACTTTTATTACCCATGCCTCACTGGCGGAGGAAGTATTGTAATCGTGAAAAATCTCAAAAATGAGATATTACGTTTTTTGGATCTTATGTAACATGTACACCACGAAAAAGCAGTACTGCTCAGAATTTTTACATAAGGTTGCTACTATGCCGAGGATGAAAAAGCTTTGAAGTTTTTTAAAATCGGTCCAGTGGATGCGTATAAAATGACCAAAAACAAATAAAATTGGTATCGCTAAAACTTCATTTTTTTGACGTTTTGGAAGAAACTGATCATTTTTGGAAAAATCTTTAGAGGTAAAAAATTGGGGGAGGGCTTATAGCGGGTAGATGAGGGCGTTCCGCAATTTTTTGATGTTAGGATATTAATTACACTTCCAGCCCCGGTAATTCTATGCCCCTATTTGACATATTTCACATATATATAGAGTCTACTTGACCCCATTTTTTTTTTCAAAAATCAATGCAAAATATGAACTGAGCCTCGATATGTCACTTTGTATATGAATAATGTAGGAAAATAAAATAAAATATTTGAAAACTGACTGGAAACTGAAAATTTGTTACCTGTGTGGGGGTGATTTGACTGAGTAGCAGCTGGTTGTCCTGTCAAAGGTATCGCCAATCTTGCGTTGACCGCTAGTAAATGATCTCTCCTTTGCAAAAGGGAACTGACGTGGTCTTCTAACCTCAAGTTTTCAGCCCTTAGCTGATGTAGACACGACAGCAATGATGCAACTAGAAGGAAATATGTATATGTTAATTTTAAACATAAATATATAGATTAATCTCCAATTCAGCACATGTCTGGCCCAAGCAAACCACATATATAGGTCTTTTCACGTTTTTTTTGCGGATACATCATCAATGCCATATAAAATAAGGAAATCGACTAAGTGAACCATGTGTGGAGCTGAAGCTCCATACGAAAACTGTGCACTGGGCAAACCGATCTTACACGCAGCTACTCTTGCTTAATAAAGAACCATAGAATTCATTCCTTTTATGTATGAAAAATAATATCAGAGAAATGACCGTCTCTAGAAGCTGCGCAAACCTGAGCCCTCTTGATTACATTTTACATCACTTTTTGGTAGGTTTCAAGAGGGATATTTTCAATCGCTTCCGTAACATTGTTCTTCAGCTGCACCACAGTATTTGGTTTTGTTGGCATAAACACTGTTTTTCAAAAATCCTAATAAAAAAAACCTTAAATCCAGTGACCTTGGTGGCCAGTTGACATCACAAATCGATAAATTAAACGTCCCGTAAATATTGTTAAAGATTAATTGCTTCCCTAGCTGTGTGACAAGTTGCTGCGTCCTGCTGGAACCACATGGTTTGAAGGTTGAATTGATGAATTTGAGGAGCCAGAAAGTTTTGCACCTTATCATGGTAGCGCTGGCCAGTGAGAAATGACCAATGACAACTGTGACTCGACGAGGATGTAGTGGTCGGTGATGGGTGACACGAGGGTTCTCTAATTCCCAGATACGACAATTGTGATTATTAACTAATCTGTTCATATCGAAGTGGGCTTCATCGCTCATTATCAGTTGTCGGCAAAAAAATCGTTATTTTGGGTATTAAGCTGCAATATTGCATGACTGTATTGTCGGCGACTTTAATGGTCACCAGGCTGTAATTCTTGGGTTAACTTAATTTTGTTTGGTCGCAAATGGAAGTCATTTTTTAAAATAGTGCATAATGACGTGCGACGAATACCCAATTCTTGAGAATGATGTCTGGTAGACGTCTCAGGGCGCTCCACTACACTTTCACGAGCTCTCTCGATATTTTCCGGAGTACAAACAGTTCGAACACGGCCCGACCTTTGTAAGTCTTTAACTTCACCTGTTCAAATTTCCGCACCAACTGACGAATGGTGTTGACACTGGGCATATTATTTCGACCGAAATCTTGTCGTAGCTTCCGAATCGTTGCAACAATCGACTCATTATTTAAGTAAAACGTTTTAACAATACGGACACGCTGTGGGATCGTGCAGCGCTCCATAATGAATTGGACACATGTGCTTTAAACAACTCGTACTATGGCGCCACCTACTGAAATGCGTGTATATAAAATGGCGCGCAATTTAAATCAGTCAGTTATATATTGGCCACCTTGTATATTTTAAATATCTGTTTAGTCCACGACGTTTCAATCGCCAAGTACAATTGAGAATTTCACTGTCATACTGTGACAGTATTATTTGTTTATGTTTTCCAGGTGACATTTTATTTCTTTTTTCCTTTTCACATTCCTATACAGTGAGGTACTACAATAGTTCAAGTGAACCTTCAAGAAGCTGAGATTAATACTTGAGAGAGGCCACAATTGCGGTTAAAATGTCGTATAATAAACATGCCTTTAAACATACATATATGTGGATTGATTCGGCCAGACAATCGAGTCCTATGAACATAAAACCACATGATAGGTTTCAGGAGTTACTTTGAGAGAGCTTTAGACATATTTTGATTTTAGTGTAAGCGCGCTCATTTAAATCATACACTATCTACATAGCCTAATGCCAGCTTTACATTCAGTATGAGTAAGAGAAATGTTGATCAGACGATTGCGCACCAACAAAACAGCTGATTCTTCCTGTCATTTTCTTGCAACTTGCAGGGGTCTTGTATGAAAACCATTTTTCATGTGGCTATACATATACTAAGTGATATATAAATCCGAACACCCAGTTTAAATGGTTTTATTTTAATAAAATTTTGTATAAGTACTTAATGAAGCATAATAAGTAAATGATAAAAATTTCAAAATGATTGCACTACTTTAAAGCCCTTTGACCTTTAATAATGTGTGGATGCACCCTGATGTGCTACGCATTCTCCAACGCGCCTAGGCATGCTTCTGATCAGGTGGTCAATGTCTTCGTGTGGTATCTCATTCCAGGCAACCACCAACTCCTCTCGAAGTGCTTCTAGAGTCTGAGGAGGACGTTGCAAATTGAGCAATCTCCTACCCATCATATCCCACACGTGCTCAATTAGGGATAAGTCAGGAGATCTTGGTGGCCATGGTAACAATGTGACATCATTATGTTGAAAGAAGTCTATTGTGGCTCTTGCAACATGTGGTCAGGCATTATCTTGTTGGAAAGTTGGATCTGCCAGGGTGTCAAGATAGGGTAAAAGATGGGGTTCTAGAACTTCGTGGATATAACGCTGCGCGTTCATGTTACCTCTGATGAAGATTAAAGGTCACCTGGAACCATAAGCTATAGCACCCCAAACCATAACTCCAACAGTGTGATGAACATGTCTTTCAACAAAAAACTGTGGATTCCTCCTTTCACCACGTCGCCTTCTAACCCTGGTACGACCATCGTGCATGCCTAAACAAAATCGAGACTCGTCACTAAAGACAATACTGTTCCATTCCTGATACCAGAGTGACTGTTGTCTGCACCACTCAAGGCGATTACGTCGGTGTTCTCGAGTTAAAGGGAGGACCCAGTGTGGTCGGTATGAAAACAAGCCAAAACTTCTCATTCGTCGGTAAACACTTCGCATGTCAATAGGTCTTCCGTGTTCTGCAAACCATTCATTTGCAATGGACCTGGTAGTGGAGAAACGGTCCCTTAAGGCCAATAATCTTAGGCGGCGATCTTCACGGTCTGTTGTTCTACGGCGGCGTCCAGTGCCCCTTGCTCTTTGCGTACGGCCTTCTCGAAGCCATGCCTGACAACACCTAACCACAGTGTCTACACTTCTTTGCACTCTAACTGCAATTGCCCGAAAAGAAAGTCCAGCTTCCCGAAATCCCACTATACGGCCCCTATCAAACTCACTAAGTTGACGAAATCGTACAGGTCTCCGAACTTTAGGCATCGTAACCGATCGTAAAGGATGTCAAGAACCAAAATCCGTCAACGTTGATTCTTTACTGCGGCTGAAATATTCATTTTTAGAGCGTTAGTGATTTAAAAAACCGGACTGTCCAACTGATAAGGCTGAAAATTTTTTCACTTGTTATTTACAGTAAGATAAATACATTCACCAACTTTTATAAAAATAAAACCATTTAAACTGGGTGTTCGGATTTATATGTCACTTAGTATATTTAATTGTTTGCAGATACATATCTAATTGTGCCTTGACGTTGGATGGTCGGCGATTGAACCTACTTTTTGAATATTAAAGAAAGGGGTTCTGAACGGTAAAAAAGCAAAAGCAAAATAATAGGTTAGCAATGTGAGAGGGAATATTTCATCCGTTTAGATTGGCTAACCTTGCTCGTTTGAACCCAGGAAACAGGGCGATATTAAAAAGGCAAGAGCTTGCATGCAATGGTCTAGTAGTGGACTGTAAAACGGTTTTGAGATATCCACAATCTACCCTAAGCCACACATGAATAGAGGCCAATACCTACTTTCAGTTAGCAACAGTGGTTTGAAATCTGCGGCAAGCGAGCAATATAAACATGCACAATCTATACTTGTAGCTACAAAATTTAGAACTCTAGGGCAATTCAGGATCCTGATTTCGAGTATGGTCATATCGCAAATAATGTTTTTTGTATGCAAATGAACTGTTCTAAATAAAAGAGCTGTTAGCAAGTACAAAATGAATCTGAAGCGTACAAAAAACCAAAACAAAATACGGCTTCGACTACCTGACGTTGACGGATCCGTCAGAATTACGTGTCCTGTGCCGATATGGGGAATTTTGAGATATTACTAGATAATCAGCTGTCACTCTACTGTGATGGATACTCGTGAAATGGGGTATACTTCTTAGCCCTAAACCCTAAACAAATAACCTAGCTTTTTACCGGAAGCTGTTGCGATTGACGAGATGTGTTCATGCCAAATCAAGTTCTCGGCCGAAATGAATGGCTCTTTGGCAAAATTGTACCATACGTCGAAACCAAATGGGCTAGGGGGCTTTTTGTCAGTCAAGGTAGTGTTTTGAAGACATTAAATTGTACCAGATTGTTGCTTCCCCAAGCTGTAATAACTTCAAAGTCTCCCTTCAGAAGATCTACGCAACTGTTTATAATCAAGCCATGTACTACCTCAAAATACTCAAACCATCTCCACCACTCAAATGTATGTCATCCAGCTCAAGCAAAATAAGCATGTTAGTACCCCCGTACACTCACTGTCAAAATGCTGAGCTTGCTCCATAAGAAATTGGGATCCCTGCTCCCACTGTCTTTCCAGGAGTTGGTCCAACGTTTGAGGGATGGTCCCACCGCTACCTCCAAGCATTGAGGACAAACCACTGCCTCCCGAGGCCGTACTAGAGGTCGTACTGCTTGCTCGAGCCTATAAAAAAGTTGAATATTCATTAACTTACTCTTCCTGAGGATAGCCACCATGGCGTCCAAGAAATTATCCGAGATGAAGTGAGATACCCTGAGGTCATATATGAGAAATTGCCGTAGCTATGTTTCTCCTAACACCAATAATTAGAAATGTTCTTTGAAAAGACTGATGTATCATAGATGGGCAACTCCAGTATCATCTATGAGATACTAAACTTTTCAAAGTAGATTTCTAATTATTGCATAGCTCAACGAAATTTTACCAGATAAACAAGTTTTGAATACCTACGTGTTTTTAGTAAGCGAAAAACGTGCCACAATATTTCTCAACTTCAGCGCTTAATCGAGGCATTCAAGTACTTATTTATGAATCAGATTCTTAACAGACAAAAATAAGCATTGAAAAAAATGAGTAAAAACGACATTTATAGACTATAGATCAACTAGCAGTGAATTGTAACAGACGTGAGTATGAATTTTCACAGGTTGGTTTAATGCCTTTATTCTTTTTTAAAGAAACGACTTGTCTTATTTTTTTCTGTTGGAACTTTCTCGAGTAAACCGGGGATTCACAGACTTTATTCTTTCAGTACAAACGCAGCCTATGTGGTGCATTTCTGCCTGGCGTGAATTAGGGACACTTTCCCGAGTTGGTCGGGGATTTACCGTTCGTATTTTTTGGGTACACGCTTTCAATTAAATTGCCATTTAGTATTAGTCTGATGTCTATGCGGAAAAGACACAGTGGGCGACACATTCATTGTACAAATGGCTCCAAATTATGACAGAGTGGTCGCAAGACCGAGATTGGAAAATGGCTAAAGAAAAAAGAAGCATTTCGTTATTTTTAAACAAGCCAGGATTCAAAAGACATTCACTTATATACATATAAATCTTATTTTTGCCCCCTAATTGTACATCAGCTTGTCAACCATTTGACCAAGGGATTATAAAGAGTTTTAAAACATTACAGTAGTCTAATACTCAAACACCTGCTGGCAAACATTGAAATTGCTTTTGAGTTAATAAAGAAATTAACGTCGTTGGATGCAGTTTATTTGACAAAAACCGCTTGGGTCCAAGTAACCAAAGAAACCGTGCTAAATTGCTTCCGTTAAGTAGGATTTAAGCATGAAAATGTGCAAAGTGAAGACCAGTTAAATGAGGCTGATGCACCTGATCCAGAAGATACCACTCAATGTCCTTTCAGATATCCTCAAAAATAAGGATTTATTGAAATTGACTGATAATGAAAACCTTTATGATTATTTGAACCTAGATGAAAGTTTGAATGTTGAAAATCCAGATTCAGGCCAAGAAATTGAAAATACAGTTGAAATATAAGAACTTTCCGAAGATTTGAATTTTTTTGGTGTGCTTCATTCACAGGGCATTTTCACACCCACTCTACTTATGTAAGGCTGGGTGTTAACGGTCATTTGATCGAGGATTTGTCCTTTTTGCCAAAAATATTAAGTGTGTGTATTTTCTATAATACGGTAAATATAATGTTTCTTTTTTGTTTTTTGGCAAATAAATTGAATTTTTGTGAGACAACGTTTAAAATTTTTCGACATGAGTACCTTATGAGACGAGGGTCAATTACCAAGAAAACGGGCAAAAAGAGCTTCGTCGGTTTCTGAAAAAGAAACTATTATAAATATTTATATAGCTTCTCGGGAGCGCTATCCAACTGAAACTCAGACAGAACGTGTAGCCTTTGTTTCAAAAGCATCAGGTAAGGATTTAGCTTTAAACTATAGTTTAAAATGTTTTATAGTTTGATGTATTATTCTTAATAATAGTTATTTTATCTTAAATATCTTGCCCACTAATATGGTAGCTACTTCTATTGCACACATTTTGATTTTTAAAACTTATTTTCAAATATTTTTATTATTTATTAATGCATGTAGGTATAATATATGCAAAATGTATTAGTTTGTTTTCAGGAGCATCAATTAGCAGTGTATATAAAATTTTGGCAGAGCACAAAAGAAGCAACAGTCTTTTTCCTCCCAAAGGTTACCATAGAGCCAGAGTAGTTTTGGACAACGTTTCACAAGAAATTAAGGCATTAATCCGAAGAAAAATCCACGAATTTTTCTTCCGAAACGAACCAACCACATTGGTCGACGACTTGCCAGACTTGCCATTCTTGAAAGTAAAATACAAAACTAAAAAATACCATAAAATTTTCACACACAAAAATAGTTTGAGTTTTTCATGTTTTTTATCATTCTTTATCTATACTTTATGACTTGACTAAATTTGCAATTTTGTTAAGATGAATCACCTGAAATTCGTTATTCGTATAATATGGTTCTTTGAATTAACGAATTTAAAGATTTAATGTAATTTTTAGTTTTGTAGGAAGGAAGCGAAATACTAGCATCTTGAAAGAAAAGGTTGAGATAATATGTTGGAGACGTAGATTCTTACGCAAAATCTGGAAGTATAGAGAAGAAGGCAGGAAGATATACTACCTAGTCGAGTCTTGGCTCAATGCAGGGCACACTGTTAGCAAAGTAAGGGTGGATTCATCAGTTGAGCATCCTCGGCAAGCCTTCCTGGAAGGTCTCTCCACGGGATTAAAAAATCCTTCAGGGAAAGGAAAACGACTAATTATCTTACACATCGGACCTGATAATGGCTTCATGGAAGACGGACTATTGGTATTTGAATCAAAACAAGCAGGAGACTACCACGCCGATATGAATGCCAATTTATTTGAAGGACGGTTTGAAAATATTATAAGCCGTCTAGAAGAGAACGCTGTCATTGTTATGGACAATGCTTCATACCACAGTAGGCGTATTGATAAAAAACCAAACAGTTGAAACAGAAAAGGGAAAATACAGGAATGGCTACGAAGGCAAAATGTTCCCTTTGGCAACCATATGGTCATAGCAGAACTTTTAAATCTGGTAAAGGGCAATAAAAGTGCTGACAAGTATGTCATCGACGAAATGGCTAAATCTACTAAGCGGATTATTTTACGCCTGCCTCTCTACCATTGTGAGTTTAACCCAATCGAGTTAATTTGGGCGCAAATTAAAAACGAAGTTTCCACAAAAAACACAACTATCAAGATCTCAGATGCAAAGCAGCTTTTTTACACCGCGGTACAAAATGTAATTCCGGAAAATTGGAAAAAAGCAATCGAACATGTTGAGAAGGAGGAAGAAAAAATGTGTACAACTGACCAATGTATGGAAAGAGTGGTTGAACCAGTGATTATTAGCTTAGGAAACGATTCAGAATCTTCAGATTATACTGATAGCGATTAGTTAATAAATGTAATTTGTATATTTACTGGATACGAATGTTATTTTCGACGGCTCTATCCGGATAGACTTCAAAGTTGGTTATCCCAATCCTGTGTTAAACCTGACCGCTAATTTCTGTCCAAGATTTTGACTACCAGTTTTGGTTTGACTTGTGGATTACCGAAATAAATGGTCGGGATTACACATCATTGGGATAATCCACTTTAAAGTCTATCTGGATAGAGCCATCGAAATAAACTTGGTAATGAATGCAGGTAGATTCATTATTAGGAATTATATTAAAAAGATCTAGAATCCAATCTAAAAAAGAATTTAATTTTTGAGCCCTTTTATTTATTTTTCCCATGTATTAAAATTATTTTTGCAATATGAAAAATATGTAAAGTTAACGAATCATACTCGTAAACTGTGGCAGCATATTTAATATATCAATATAATAAACCTTATAGCACCTTGACAAGACAATGACAAGATAGAAGAAACAGTGAAAATAAATTAAATGGTACCTCAATTAATTTTAAAACCTACAAGCCACTGGCATCGGTTTTGCAGGTAGTTGTGCTGCCCTGTCTCTTGTTTTATTACTTCGTACGTTCGTAGGCTAAATTATAGTTCTGTTTGATCAGAGATGTGACATACGAAAGGTCAAAACAATACAAAGCTAAGTTATGCACACATACGTATATTGCAAATACTACTAATATTGAGAAATAAAAACTATTAAGCGTATAAATTATGAATATAAAAAATGTGAGAATATATATATACATGTATATACATGTGTATATAAAAAGACGAAATAAAGGATAATCAATGCCAATATAACCGAATGCGGTCACTGTTTGAAGTCCGTGTCGCGATGTGATAAATTGGCGTTCTGAAAAACTTTCATACAGATTGACTTTTTATTGTGTAATCGGTTGATAGCTCCCTTATTTTGAAACTTACCTAAAAAAGTTAGTATTCAACTATACGTATACACCTGAAAAACATGCCGCTCACTAAAGAGTGATTCATAACTGTGGCAGCGCAAACATGCATTTTAAAAAAATGGGATACCCTGTATATATTAGTATATTCTCGAATACTTCGTCAAACGAAACAGTTTAATAAAGCATACTAAATATAGAGATTAAATAGAGCTACGGGACACTTTATCCTCAAACACTCAACTTTCACAGCTTGCAAACCAGTCGCTTTTGCAGATATAGTAACACACTTTACGCCAAAATGAACTCCATATCCCATAGTTTCTCGTTATTAAATCGTTTTTTTTTATCTCTTACATCACCAATATAGAGTGTTTATAATTGCAAAATCCACTTTTTCAAAAAACTCGAAATGGGATAACCGATATATTTTTATGGTTTTGTGTTCTCCTTTTCATAAGCTCTATTTCAGTATAACAGTTTTGTGAGGTTAAATTACTAAATCTTTGAGGTATTTTCAGATTTCCAGGAAATGCAATTCAAAGAAAATAAATGCCTCATCACTCCTGGAAACTACTGATTTTTATTGGGGTGAGGTAATTTCAATGAATGAAGGCTTATACATAACAATCTAATAATTGTTTCTTACCGATTGAAGAACCCTGTGATGCAGCTGGGGTCCCACAAGGTTCGAGTTATTCTCATTGGCGTTGAAAATACTGTGCGCTTCTAGCTCAGAATTCAAGTGATCATGCATCTTTGAATGCATGTTAGAAGTCGGATTCAGCTGGTTACCCAGCATATGAGGAGCAGTGAGTCCATTCTGGAATCTGGAAATACACACTAAGTTTAAAGCCGGTTTCAGGGACCATGGCTTCCATTTGATTACAAAATAAAAAAAAAACATTTATCTTTATAACTAAGAAAAGAAATGTAACATGTGATATACCGTTGAATTCTTAGAAAAAGATGCTATCAGATACAGGGTTTACTTTTTTACGATGGTTTCTCAAAAAAGAAACGGGCATAAAATTTTAAAACACCAACATGTAGTGCCCAAAAACTACCAATAAAAAAGTTCAATTCGTTTTTTTATATTTCTTAAAATAAAATAAAAAAATAAAAACGATTTGACAAAATTTTATTGTTTCCCAAATATGTCAGTAAGCCATGACATTTTTACAAGTTTCTCAACTGCAAGTAAATACGCCAAAGAACGCAACTTTTTCCTAATTCAACCCAAGCTGTATCTCCCACAGCTATTGAGATCCCCATGCATAGGATCCTTATCTTGGGTATATTTTCTACGATTCCAAAAACAACTTGATGAACTCTGATGTGACATGGAATTTCGCAGGTTTTGCGGCAACATTTTACTCACACTTTGATTTCCTTGACATCTTTCTTCTCCACAACGACCGGCGGTGAATCCCTGTCCTCTCTGGTACCGTTCCCAGTGGGGGGCGTGCCAGGCTGCAACTGCGTCCCGCTCTTCCTGCCTCTCGGTCGGCCACGCCCAATCGTAGGCGGGGCGCTCTGCAGGCTTTCCGAACTCGGACTGCTGGGCGGCGACTCTTTCATCTGAGTGACGGCAGCGAACGCGCCAGGGGCAGCGGGGGACACGTCTTGCGTCAGGGGAGGGACTACGAACGCGCCCGGGGGCGTTTCTTGCACCGTGGGCGATCCTGAGGGACGGGAACGGCTAGATCGCTTGGGAATGGCACCGTTGTTAGCGGTAGGGGGTATGGCGGGGGCTGTTGTCGAGGTGGAGCGCTTCTTGCCGCGTCCCACAGGGATCGTGCCCGAGTTTGTGGGTGGGGTTTGTTGTTTGTCGTTGGATTGGGATTGAGATCTGGAACAGATTAATATAAAATTTAATAAGTCATATATAGAGAGAAATATTTTATTTGACGGCCTTGAATCATTATGTCTGTAAGCGAAACACTGATTTAGCTTGTAACACTTGCACTATGCTCTAACTATTTTCTATTTTTGATTAACATGATATTCAAATTAGGCATGAAAATTCAGTGCACACTTTTTTGATTTGTCAGTTATATTAGTGATACTAAACAATTATGTGATCTAGTGGAGCAGATTTGTGGCGATTGATATGAAAAGATACACCACGGATCAAGGAATCTAAATGGCCGCATTTTATTTTCAAAGTCCAGTGTCTGATATTTTACCTCAGCATCGTCGCTTCGATTTAAATCTTGAGAATATTTAGTATCAAAAATAAGCAATCTTATCCCAAGTTTTAGGTAACAAGAGATAATAGTGAACATTCGTAGAACTGGAGGACGATGCATAGTTCCGACGGGTGGAACATTCAAGTTATAGTTTATAAGAACGTTCAGTTTCCATTATTGGTTCTCAAAATCGAATATTGCTGTGAAATTTTTTAATGGGAACCGTGGAGAACTATACAAACCTGAAGTTGCAATAATATGAAGCAAATCACGGCACACACTTCAAGCGAGTAGTCAGTGGCTCTGATGAGGTTGTTTTCGAGGACATTCTTTGGCAGAAAGCCAATTTAACTTAACCTGAATACATATGTTTTTATTAATGAACTAAGGAACACTGACTATTTCTAAGAGAATGTCCATAACGAAATCGTTTTCTATAGGGAAATTTTCAAAAACCTTGCATTTGTGATGTGGATAAAAGCTTCTTTTATGGGTGAATCAAGTGCGTAGAATCCGATTCCGATAATTTGGCGCTGAGACCGTCGTAAAGATCCAAGCAGTTTATTTTATACCTCAATGGCTTTCTGATCCTTCAGTTTTGTTTAATGAACATATTAAAATTTAGGTCTTCGAATTACCTAGATGTAAAGAGTTTCATTCGCAAGGTCGTATTTTTTTAGTTAGTATATTCAGCATTATTACCTTCCTCTTCTAGCAGGTACATCAGTAGTAATGGCCGGCGTGGTGTCCAGCTCTAATTCCATGTCCACCTCAGTGTTGATGGAATCCACTTGCTTCTCGTACGTTATCTTTAACCCTCCGCCACTCATTTCGGAAGTTAAGAGGCCTTGGTTACTGTTATTACCTGTCATTAAATCTAAAAAAAAGTAAGTTACATGAAATAATATCCAAGTTAAAAGCGAGGAAAACAAAGTGTACTAGTTCTGTAAATCAAGTGATGCGACTGGCAACGTAGCGTTCGCCCTGGCAACACTGGAGGTACCGGGCTTGGAGCGGAAACAGGGGAACATGTAATCCACCTTCGGTACAAGTTTGAACTCGCTGGAGTCGTTTGGTTAGCCGTTGCTATTTTTTTTGTTTCTATTGTGTTCTAAAAATGAGTGACATCAATTTCAAGCAATGGTGTACTATCAGGTTTTGCTTCAGACGTGGGCATAGAACAACGGAAACTCTTGCTAAACAGGCCTACGTAGATAGTATCTTCTCAAGAAGCCAGGTTTTTCGATGGATTAAGGCTTATTTTCAGAAGGGAAAGAGTCGATTGAAGATAAACCACGAAGCGGAAGGCATTCATCTTCAAGAAACGATGAAAATATCTACAGAATCCTGGATCTTGTGCGTTCAGATCGACAGACAGAATGATCGGGGAAGAGTTAAATTTTACTCTCACCACCGTTCATCAGATCAAGAACAACTGGGTATTGCATCACGATAATGCTCCTTGTCACACATAAATGTCAATGAAGCTTCTGGCCAGTAAAAACATTCATGTAGCTCATCAGCCTCTTTAATCGCCTGACTTGAGTCCTTATGAATTTTGTTTCTTCCCGATGTTGAAAAAATCAGCCGAAAACATTCAAACGACTGTAATCGACCAGCTGAAGGCTTTTCGAGTTCCAGCACCGCCATGAGGAGTGGAAGAACCGTCGTCAGCGCTGTGTGGATTCAGACAGAAGTTATTTTGAGGGTGACGATATAAAATTGTAATTATATTTGGCTAAAAAAATAGTCACACCATTAATTTACAGACCTTGTATGTTATACGAACGCTAAATGAGCGGCATTATCGACTCGATGGTTGCCATGGACGATATTTGGATAACGAATACGATGACGCTGTAGCTGGGTATAATGGCCGCAGCGTTAAGGCCACCATTCACAATTGTTTGATCATGCGAAATTTGAGCATTCACAACCAAAACGACTATAGTTTCCTCAGCAAAGAGGAGTATAAATATAGTGAATATTCAATCAATCCTGATTTAGCTGAGCTGCTCCATTCGGAGCCAGAAACAGAACGTCTGAAAAATGAAGTGACGTAGCATAATACGTGTTTGGAGCCCATTCTGATGGTTTCGAATCCGACTACGATGGTTTCTATTTCGATTACGATTTCGAAACCGGATTCTGTGCTTAAAACTAAGGATGCATCGAGAACTACTTTTTATAAAAAGGCCGAGTACCTGGTACTCGGTGAGGTGATTTGCTGAGTTATTTCATATACTGTTAGAGATATCAAGGTTATATTTGCCTTTTTGAAAGGCGTCTTTATTCTACAAATTGAAAGAAATTAACGCAACACAGTTGTGCCGCTCATACATTTTTTGTGCATAAATCAGGGCATGTTATCGTATTTACGGCATTTTGGGAATTTCTGATTTTTTAAATATATAGGTATAATAAGAGACATGCAACAGGTAGGCATATATTTTGCAATGTGAAGTTCAGTTGCTACAATATCGAATTGATATATTTTGACGTTACATTTTGGAGCATTCGTATGATATTCAAGAGGTATATACTCGGCATCTTAAACGTACATTTTTGATGAAAATAGGCAAAGCAAAGCTCCAAGCTACAAAATTTTCAAAAAAATGTCTAATAGAATCGCTGCTATATCATGGTCATCACGAACACTGAAATCAACTAGCATAGGTTTACGATCAAGCTTTGAGTGGTGTGTACTTAAGAAACAAATGAAAAATGTTAAATGTCATGGCCGCCAATTTAGATATAGGAAGGATTAACTTAAATTATCCTGTATGGATAAATAATATTTTCTTCTTTGTTTTTTGGTTTTTGTTGTATTTTGTGTATTCATATAAAAGATTAATAAGCAAAGAAGAAATACAAAAATGCTCTATGATGAAGTGTCAGTTTAAGACTCCTATAGAACGTGCTCCTTTGACTACCCATATTTTCTATAAAAAACTTGTAGCAGTAATACTATCATGAATAATAAGCTATGCAAATACCATAAATACACTAGTTTTAGTCAACATTTATTAAAAAATCATCTAAATGAGGCAACTGATTTCGGCAAAAATTTGATGAAAAATCGGACGAGTATGTCAAGTACCGGGCACAAACAGAGTACGCGGTGCATCCCTACTTAAAACCGTATTCTATTTGAACGAACTGCTTGAAGGAAACAAAAAATTCTGGCACTAACACGTTCAATTCCAGTAATTATTCCAAATGAGAGTAACGATCTACAAGGTAATCATTGTGGCGTAGAGCTTAGAGTATGTATAGTTTTTGGATCCATGGTAAGTGGCCAGTTTAATGTTAAGCTAGGCTCAACCCGCGGCTCCGCTCGCATGGAGGTAGTGTAAAGTATAGGTCATTCGTTTTGAATTGCTGTGAAGGAATTGGTTTCGGAGAAGAAATGCAATATCCAAAGTAACAATAGTTACTTTGACAATAAACATTTTTTATCCAGCATTTTGATGCGACAATAAATTAATTTCGGTGTTTCACTTTTCATATCTTCGATAAAAAGTAAGGAGTTTACTTAATTTATCTGATCTTAAAATGACTTAGAAGGTCATGGTCAGGTTCACTAGCAAGGATACACTCGAACTTGAAATTGCCCGCAATTCTCATTTCAGGAATTAATGTTGTGATGTGATACTTCCATTAAAAAATTAATTTCATCTTTAAATGACTGATGTCATACTCAAGATCATGGACATACATGAACATAAAGATACTTGCTCTTTTTATTTCCTGTGTCAATAATAGGTGGTTCCATTTAAGAAAACAGTCTTGACCTTCAAATGAGTTTGAAGGTCATGGTTAAGGTCACGTTCAAGGTCAATATGTTTTCAAATGATGAATGTTTTAAAATCTTACAACTTTATTACAAAACATTTTTCTTTAGGAAACGTATTTTTTCGAAACATTTTGTGCTTTCTCTACTTTCCGGATACCCTCAAATACCCATGAAGATAATGGTCAACGTCATGAGCAAATATATATAAAATAAGGGTATTATTTAATAAAACTATCATGACCTTCAAATGACCTTGAAGGTTATAATCAAAGTCGCGATCAAGATTACCATTAGGCGACTCTTTTTAAACCTTAAAACTTTGATCTACATTTTTACTAGGAAACAGTGACAAGTGAAATTGTAAATTATCCGCCATTGGACTGAGTGTTAACCCCAAATCCGAAAAACAAACCACAGAATTATTTAAGTTCAAATCTGAAGCCACTGTTTGCCTACTCCTTTCTATCAATTAACTGTAATCTGTGGGATTTTTCTTGAATGGCAGCAATTCTGGGAGATTTTCGCGCAAATTCGGGGAAATTCTTCTACCCATCTGGCAACGCTGTGCTTTGACAGATCTGCCATAATTATGAACGCTTCTGTAATAGTCTAAGATCTGGCCGCTTGAATCTTCACCTGTTTTTTTTTGATAATACTTGTTCTGCTACTATATCCTCAAATATCCTGCGCAGGCACAGTGGTTGGTACTCACTTCGATCAGTGCGCCCTCAGCAGTCAATTTTTGGGGGTTTCTCATTTCGCCAGTTCTCCTTAAGAGTCCATATGGAAGGCAGATAAAATATATTCTCCAAAAAATGTCATTTGTACTGAAGTCACTGTTGGGACCGAAACGTATAACTATTTTTAAACACATGTGGTTTGACTGGCCAGGCAAACATGAGGGATTATTCGTGTTACTTGACGTAGGAAGTACAAGACTTCGTTCCTTACGAATCTTTTTTTTTTTAGTGTTCTGTATTTCTAATTCAGACTTACCACTAATAATCGGCGTGTTCCTCTCACCGCTGCCAGTCGGGGCAGCCTTTTCCACTGACTGCTGCCCACTGCCGCCCAAAAGCGTCGATCCGACCGTCTGCCCGTTCACAACGAGGACAGGCGTTCCGTGGGCAGTGTGATGCGGACTCAAATGGGCACTGGATAATGGGACACTTACCACCAGCGAATGCTGTCAACAAAATTCAGATTGTTAGTACCAGGGGGGTGTAAGTAGCATAAATGATCGAAATTAGACAGTGAATAGCAGCTACCAGTTGAAACCAAATGTTGGTTGTAGAAGCAGCCAGACGCATAGTCTCTGTAGTGAGGATTAAAGTGCACTTGACATTAGCCATTTTTTTACAGTTCTATGGTGATAGATGGCACCTCTCATCCGTCCTCTTAATTATTCCGACGATTTTGCAATATCAGAATTTCTCAAAAACGGAAAGGGATATCCCAAAACCTGCGGCAACAATCCGAGATGTGACAAAGCTGACGCCTAAGGGTCTACAAGTTGGTATAAGTGATTGACAGCGATGGTTATTTTCGCACAGGCACGCCTTTTTCAATTGAATTTGGTATCTTCTAGTAGAATTGTTAATAAATGGCTTCATTTACCGTCTGAGGAGGAGCTATCGTTGTAGAAGTAGTGGGGTGTTCCACAGAAGTGACCACGTCAGCTGAAGAAGTGGGTGAGGCTACCTTCACTGGTGCCGTTATTGACGTTAACGCTACAACTGGTTGATTTGATAAAATCGACTGGGTCGTTTCTATTTTTGCCTATAAAATAAAATATAGTTATATTCTTCTGCAGTGGTTCCAAACAGGAAAGCCTGGTAAAAGGACTTGACAAATCAAAATTAGCTCGAGAATATTGTTCCTTAAATCCTGAAGGCTCAAGACTGTAGAAAAAACCTTCAGAATTCCTTCGATGTGTACAGCGAACCTAACTACGAGGATCTGAATGTGGATATGAATAACATCAACAATGAATTTAGCCAATTTTTATTGTCGTTTTTCTGGTTTTAGTTGTCAGAAAAATTAAATAATTTGGCAAATGTAACTAACCTTTTTGGCTTTGTCGTTTGCACTATCTGTCACCAAGCTTTTCTTCTCAGCACCTGTCAGTAAACTAGGCACCGTTGGCGATGCTGTAACCACTGCAGACGAAGTTACTACCACGCTGACCTCACTGCCTATTCATAAAAAAACTCAAATTATTGCTTATTACATGTACTGTAAACTTATAAAAATTATTTTAGTCACCAAAATTTTGTCGTAGTCAAACTGTTGTCAGTGGTGATGTATTTTCTTTTTAAATCGACGCATGATGAACTGAATCTATTTGCTTTCCGCTTCTGTAACCATGACTAGCCGGAATCAACGTTGTTTTATTTCTATAAGCAACCATCAGTACGGTATAGTTGTTAAAGCTACTACACACCAGCCGGCGGCAATGCCGCCGGGTTTATGCCGAGCGGCTATGCCGTCGGCAATACAAGCCGCCGGCACAAGCCGCCAAGCATCATTCCGGTTGTGACAGTCACATAGAACGCTAGTGAAATGCATATTTTATGGTTGGTCGGTTAAAATGAATAAGGAAATCAACAGCATAGCCGCCGCAGTTGTAATTTTTATTTTAATAAGAAAAAAATACAAAAGGACGAGAAGGTTTGGGTTGCACCCAAGTTTACAAAATAGAGAATGGCGAAACGGTACTGTAATGATAGAAGATTATAAAAAAGATGATGTGGGGTGTCAGCGTTTGCGCAATAGCATGTTTTTTGGGTTTCTGTACATCGTCTATGCCTGCACTAGATTTGTGCAACTGTTCGAACTTCTTTTTTCCCGAAAATAATGAGAAGTTACATTTTTTAACTTTCTCTCTACTTCGCCTTTATCAATGTCAAATACACTTGCAATTATGTTCAGTGCGTAGATTGTTCCTATTCTTATAGTCTGCATTTCTGGGATTCCATAATATATCATTTTCATGAAATTTTTCAATTAAGAGCAGCACAGCTTCGTCGTCCCAATTAAACGACATTTTAATTTGTTTAAACACACAAACCGCACAACACTACTGCTCGAATGCCAGGAACGAAGTGACGCCGGCAAGCCGCGTAACCCGCCGGTATACCCCGGCGGCAATGCCGGCGGCTCCTTTGCGCGGCAAGGCCGGCGGCTTTGTATGCCGCCGGGTACACGGAGGCTTAGCCGGCGGCTTGCCCGGCGGCACTGTGTGTAGCAGCCTTTAGAGTCAGAGAAACAGAAATCAAACTCGCGAGTATGGTCTACTGTACTGCTGGATATTTCGCGAACTAGTTCATATGAATTATTCTTGTGATTAAGCGAACTATTTCATCATTACTCGAAACATTCGTTCACCACGAATATCTAGTGTTACAGAATCGTGATGATCCAAGCGAACTAGTTGTGACTGAACGGACGAGAAACAGAAAGAAGACGGGACACCAAGTAAACAGAAGATTGTATAACTTGTTGCCTGGATACAATAGTGGTTTAGTTCAAGGATATCGAATAGGATAACATGCTGTTAGTTACAAAGGCTGAAGGAAATAAAAATCGATGACTTTCATAGAACATGGCACCCATTGAGGCCAATGAAAAAATTAAAACAATATTAAACTTAAAATGTAAATTAACTGCAGATTTCCATTTAAAAACATTTTTTTCACTTCATCAGCTTATCAAAGGCATGCATTATTTATTAAAAATCTTCTGAAGCAGTAAAACAAAAGTTAATCCCACATTATCTGAGGCTGTTGAAAAGTCTAACATCTACTTTGTGAGCGACGTGGAGTGCTTAAATTTCAACATCCGTATTAACAAAAAAAAATCAACAATACGAGGTGTGCCCAAGCAGTGATCCGAAATGCGAATATTTACCGAAAACGTCATTTTCCACGATTCAAATATGCCCAAAAAGAGCTGAAACCAAAAATAAAGCTAAAAGCGAATTTTATGTAGTCTGCCCTATATCAATCATACGTATTATGCATAGGCACTCAGGCAATCGAGCACATGAGAGGCGTAGATTTGGGTTGCCCATGGTTACGAATGCACATCTTTATCCCTTACTTCGCTTGCCCTGAACTGATTTTTGTGCGTACAGGTAAAGGTACAGACTGGTAGATTGCCGTCATAACCGCATCGCCGGACAACCAATAAGAAACCGAAAATGTTTAATTAAAATGTGGGGTGAGTTCAGGGGTAAAACAGAAAAATATTCAGAATCCTATGAGCAATAATCGAAAAGGAGTTTCCAGGATGGTTGCCAAGGACTTTGAAAGAGCGACCAGTATGCACATTGTATAAGTTGCAATATAGAACTATGCCATCAAAAAACATATGTTGTGTGCGCGCTCAATACAATAGTAAACATTTTTCATAGACGGCGCTGCGTGACTCAAAGGCATTTGATGCACCACTGATCTTGGGACGGCACTTTACCACCTACCGAATTCAACGACACTATTTATCGATTCCTTTTTTTCTGGGTTCGGCAACACTACAGGACACTTCAAAAGCAATGAAGATTCGAGACGTGTTCCGGATCAAATAAAAATGAAATGCAACAAGTTTCGCAAATATTTTCGTAAATAGGTATTTTTGATTCTGACAATATCTAGACGATGAATAATGTGAATGCGGGTACATTTTAAATATCGATGTTTTAGGACCCAGGAATGTAGGATGTGCTGTGTTCACATTTGGTGTGAACTTCTATATCAAAAATTGGTAATACATTGTTTTTGATGTAACAAAAGATGATTAACCCGTTGGAATACGTTTTATATCCTTTTTTGCAAAATAAATAATCGGTTCATTTCTACAGGTACGTATTATGTACAACCCTGAATGTGATATAGAGACAAAAGTAGTTTGCCATGCATGGACAGTCATCAAAAATAGTTAAAACATCCTATTAAATATAATATCTAGAAAATCGAACTATTGTTTCTTGCATTTTCATTGGTCCATTCAAATAAGAACCCGTCTATTGACAGTTCTATGAAAGTTATCCTAATTTTAAAGCTCAGAGACAATCTATTAGATCCAGAATGTACCCTTATTTACAAAACAACCCCTTTTTTACGATTTTATTTAATATTTCTATAGAAATTACTGATATTAGGAGAGCTTTAACTGCTTCCATCAAATTGCATTCCAATCAGCTGTTCCCTAATTGGTCGAAGACCCCGTTACATTTCAATGTTAGTGAAATCCATCCTTAACCTAGTCTCGTTCTGAAGTACAAAATTGGTTATAGAGACTGAAAGCAAATAGATTCACTTCAGACTCTGTCTATTTATGCACTCCATTGTTGGAAGCCACGTATTCCGGCAGATTGACAGGTTTTTCTTTTAATGATAGCATTGTTACAAAGTCTGTAAATTAAGTGATGAGACTGGAAACGTAGCGTTTGATCTGGCAACACTGAAGGCGCAGGGCTTAGAGGAGAAAAAGGGGAGCATGTGATCCGCCTTCAGTACAAGTTTGAACGAACTCGTTTGAGTTATTTGGTTGTCCTAGCGATTTTTTTAAACAGTTTTTTCTATGGTGTTCTAAAAATAAGTGATATGAATTTCGAGCAACGGTATGCTTCAGACCTCGGCACAGTGCAACGGAAACTTTTGGTAAACTTCAGCAGGCCTATAGAGATAGTGTTTTGTCAAGGGCCCAGGTTTTTCGGTGGTTTAAGGCATTTTCAGAAGGGAGAAATCGATTGAAAATTAACCAAGAAGCGGAAGACCTTCATCTTCAAGAACCGATGAAGATATCGACAGAATCTGGTATCTGGCAAGTTGACAGTCAGAATGATCGGGGAACGGTTGAAGTTGACTCACATCACCATTCATCAGATCAAGAACAACTAGGTGTTGCATCACGATAATGCTCCTTGTCACACAGCAATGTCAATAAACGAGCTTTTGGCCAGTAAAAACATTCATTCCTCAGCCTCTTTATGCGCCTGATTGAGTCCTTGTGACTTTTATCTCTCTTCCCGAAGTTGAAAAATAACCTCAAGGGACAGTCGAAAGCATTCAAACGGCTATAACCGACCAGCTGAAGGCTATTCGTTTGTAGAAGTTCCAGCACTGCTGTGAGGAGTGGAGGAACAGTCTGCAGCGCTGTATGGCTTTTGCAAAGGAAGTAATTTGGATGGTAACAATATAAAATTGTAATTATATTTGGAAAAAAAAAACATTAAAAAATCAGTCTCCACTTAATTTACAGACCTCGTATTCTACCTGAATATAACCATACATTGTTTTCCAACGCCCACAGAGGGTTTTATGAATCCTAACGATATCTATGAGACAGAAAGTCTTTAGACATCTGCTTTGAAAATAGATTGATTGGTTCTCCTACTACTACTACTGTCTCATAGATGGAGCTAGTACCTTGAATTTTTTTTTGGCGCCTCTCAACTGCCTATTTCAATTGCGTATCTTCATGCACTGATTAACGTATTACATTTGAAAATACCCACTTGGAATGGCCATTAGAGAGATGCCAACAGAGAAGGAGATCCCAGCGCCATCTACGAGGCAGCAGCTTTACTAAACAATAAGTCTTTTCAAAATATATTTCAGAATTAATTTACTGTTTTAAAGATGGTACTAGGATCTTTCAACCCCTATGAGTGCCCTTGATTTCGATTATGTTTTATAAACTGAACACAACAAAAGCATATTTAGCAGTATAGTGACTCACCAGCTAGTGATGCGGACAGTGGCACAGGCGGAACAACCGAGGTACTGACAGGAGTCGGTGTTCTAGAATTCGCTTTGCGTTTCTTATTTTTACCGCTATCCTTGTCAGACACAGCTGCGATCGCAGGCGAATCTGGAGGGGTTTTCTTCTCGGTCACAGGGGAATTCTCTATGCTGCCTACTGGGGAAGGGTCGTCCGACTTACCGCTTTTGGAACCAGCCTAAGACACAAAAAGTCACTATACACACTAAGGCAGAAAAATCGGAGACATTTCTCAGTGTTTGTTATAGTAGTCCGTAGTATTTCTGCTCTTGACTATACAGTGCTGTAGGTCAGTAGGTTTGCCAGGTCTGACTGTCGACTAACCAGAAAAAATCATGAAGAAAAAATGGAAAAAGGAAATGACAGCAGGGCGACAACAAAAAAATGATGTCAAGAAGGTTGGCTCTGTAATTCCCACGCAATTCTGAACACTTTGTGATAAGGTCATAGAGTAGAATGAATGTCAGTGAAAAAAACCATTGTTGATTTGGAGAAAATTAAAATTATGAGCTCCTCATGTTGTACATATAGTGCCTGTATCAGCTATCTTACGTTCTGGTAAGTTTTATATTGAACTGCAATGGAAACCTTTACAGCTGGCCAATCAATAACTGTGATAGGAGAAAACGTTTTGTTTTTTTTTTAAATAATCGAGAATAACTTTCATACGCCCCTGTATTATTTGCTTGAGGAAAAGGTACTGAAAATAGATGAGATTCTTCATTCCACAAAATATCTTCATATTCGCATAATACTGATGAAAGTTTATTCGTTATTTCACACCCGAATAACTACAGCCTTGATGTTATCACCCTATATGATAACTTGTATTCAATAATTTATATTGCCTTGGTCGCAATTCTTACATCGTTGATTTTCGCCCGAGAGCGACCAGCGGCTAGTGCACTTTGTACGAGTATACAAAATATTTCTATCATTCTAAACCTTAAGGGCAACTATACTGGGTAATACTCGTATGTGTAAAATATGCCTAATAAGTTCTCAGGATTGCTGGGGTTAGAAGTTTAGAAATATAGTGCCTTCAAAAAATCACGATAAGCCCTCCACCCATCTACACCTCCCAATTTTACTTCCCTCGATAAAATCTTTCAACAAACATCAAAATCCGCTGAATCGTCAAAAAAACGAAGTTTGAGCGATTTTTATTTTTTCGTTTTTGCCCTTTTTCTTCGCCGCTATCGAACCGATTTTGAAAACTTTTTCGATTTTGGTAAAGTAGACAAATCGACAGAAATGGGTGACATGGTTTTTCGTAATGCACATGTCATATAACATCCAAAAAACAATATCTCATTTTCGCGATTATACTTCATCGCCAGTACGCGTGTGAAATAAAAGAAAATTATTTTTGGGGTTTGTCGTCGAAAAATTAAAACTTGATTGCACAAATTTTTGTTCAACTATTTAATATACTGACGCATACAACACATAAGTAGAAAGAACACATGACAACGCGATTTAGTTTTGACGATGTGACGAGGTGAAAAATACTTCGACTATAATGAAGTTATGTAGAAAAATAGATACTGTTTAAGCTTTGAAATGATGTATCAATTATTGGAAATGTTTTTTTGTACTCGACAAAAATAGATAGAAATAGATACTTGAGAAATCACCTTCCCTCGTATGTTGCTATGAGCTGTTTTAGCACGAATGAGATGCCAAATACTTTATATTCATTTACTTATACGGAGTATTTTAGCCTTACCTTAGCTTTATCAGATCCCTTGGAGTTATTATGAACAGCCTTCTGAGATCCTGAACCTGAGTTCGATTTGGTAGCAGTTTTTGTGGGAGCGTTTTTCCCACTTACTGAGGACCGTTTCTTGGTAGAAGAGGAGGGGGGAGAGTTCTTCGAATTGGAAGTTTCGGACTCCTTTTCAGAGTCGGAATTGTGGGATTCGTTAGACACGGGCTTGTACGGGGGGATTGTCTTTACGTTACCGCCTTTCTTCTGCAAATGTATAAAGAAATACCATCAAGCACAAATATAATAATTGATTAACGTATTCCAGCAGAAGATACCCAATCCACTTATGCTTAAACGTGTGAACTAACGTCTTTACATGTCAGCGCTGCCACCTCTCGCTCTTTTGCCACTTGTTATGTAATTTCCTTATCCGTTGTTGATAAATTCTGAGAATACGAAATCTTAGTAATTATTGCGAGCGATTTGGAGAGGGGGGAGATCTTTCCTTAGAAATTCGGATGTCGTGTTTAAGAACAACCAATTTTCTAGGGAAATTATAGCCGTCTCGCAACATGGCTGCGACGAACAAAATTCTATTTGAAATACAGTATAGGGTTGGGCATCTTCTTTGGGAACATGTTTATGAATGGTTTTGATGGAACTATGGATGCATGTTTTTATAGGGATAGGGATAAAGTTCAGGACAGACTTATAGTGTCTGCCTACATCTCTTTCTGGTTCTTTATGATACCGACACGCGAATCACAGTGAATAGTGATGATTGCTAGTTTATCTGTATAAATTATAGATTTGGACAATACGTAAAAAGCACTAGTAGTATTATATAATAACATTTCCTAAGCATAAAAGCAGTAGTTTTCAAACTATACTGCTTTTATTCTATGCATGTTACAAGTACTGAATTTTTATCATTCATAGCTTATTATGATGTTTAGTTATTATTACTATTAGCACTATAACAATAGGCGGAAAAGTCCTATGACACTGTTGTGTAGACTTTTTTAGGCTGGATAATGCACAAAACGTGCTGCCCTGTCTTCTAGTTCCTTATCCAGCTTATTCATGAATAAATTGCCAAATGCCGCACTCACTGTCTCTTCACTAATAGAGTTCCACATGTATACCATACGATTTGGAATGAAATTTCTCTTTATCAACTTAGATGTTCTTTCTTTTTCTGATTTCTTGGTATTCCATCGGAGATGAATATTCTGACTCATATTGACTATCTAAAGGATAGACTAGTAGCAGCCACTGATGATCTTGAATGTCTCAATCAGGTCCCCTCGTAATCTTTGCTTAGCGGGTGTTGTCAAATTCATAGCCCTTATACCTTGTTCATATGGAAAATGTCGAATCTCTGGTGGAACTCACGTTATTTTACGTTGCAATCTTTCCAGTAGTTCGATGTAATTGAGGGATTCCATTCGCAGTCCGCATGTTCAAATTATCTTATGCAATAACTCTATTATTTGTTATAAATAATTATTACCATCGCTAAAAAAGAATAATTTTGAAAAATGTTCCTCATTTAACATAGAATATAAGAAAACATGCAGTTTTTAGTTTATTTATATAATTATTTTCATTGAATGTATTTAATAAATTGTAATTATTAGATGTTATTTACTTTTATCTATGTGAATTTCGGTATGAGTAAATTATATTAAGATAAAACAAAGTTCTGCACTAGTGCATTTCTGCTTTGGAAAAATAATAAAAAGATAAATATAAATAGATTATGAAAACTACGAAAAAGGCAGTAAATTTATTTTTGCAAGGTATAAAAGCAGTAAATCACGTGCTACAACTTTTTGATTTACGACAATTAAAGACGGAATGTCATTCAATTTAGGCATCGACAACAACTATGATACGGAATTACATTTAATGACTCCCTATAAAGTGATGTAACTTAGCAATATTCATTCGCTTTTGCTCTGCAGTAATAATACCAAGTGTTTAGTTCCACAAAATGCAGAATTTTGATCTCAATTTTCTCACTTTTATTTTTACACTTTACACGCCCATCTTGCAGCAAAGCCTTTTCCGACAGTGATACTGTTGTAGTAGTAGTAGTAGTTATGGTGGGGGCGAAGCATGACAATTAGGCCACCTTTAACCCTTTTTCCCAACCCTGTAGTACCAAAACTGTACTACTCCACGAGCCATCTACTGGTAATATAAACCAGCTACCAGCTCCAGCGACATGATGTACCTGTTAATACTGCACAGCGTGCGAAATATGGACAACACAACACAGCATCTTTGGCAAGGAACTTTCGAGGCCGAGATTCTAACTCACGATCCCCGGGTTTCTAGCTCAACGCGCTAACCATCGGCCTACAGAGGCTCGCACAGTGACACTGTTAGCGAGTCAGGAATGCTGTCATACTTTTAAAAGAAAATGCTTTATCTCGAGATGCTCAGCATATTTGATTATATGTTTATAGTGGAGTGATACGTGATATGGGCGATTGCTGCAAGGGGAGTGTACTTAAAAAAGGGACATTTGACTAAAGTGCCATATATTACAATATGAAAGATTATTTGAGAATAAAGAAATAAGAGATTTGACTGGAGGACGTCTAGACTTTAAGTTCAGCAACAACGGCCAAAATAAGGAAGTGGTATACTCGTATGACCATTACAAATGCAATACAATTTCCACAAAAGAGATGGTACATTGGAAATTAATGAAAAGATGGGAAAGTTGTTCCATGAGGGCACTCTAAAGGTGCCTGCCAAAGGTCGGCTTCAAGTTCGGCATTATTAACAGAAGATCTGCAGTTATTGAAAGCAGGCATATAGTGTAATGGAGACATACACAAATATATGGTTGTACTTACCAGTTTACTGTAATGATGCTGGCAGTAACCGCAGTATTTAACATTATCCAAGTAATTCCCTGCTTCTTCGCACAACAGACCTAAGCTCTGCGCACATGTAACGTGAAACTGTTGCTTGCAACCGGCCTTATTGCATTGCATACAAGCGCCGACTGTAGCGTTTGCGGGTTTACCTTTTTCTTCACAAATATAGCACAACTGCAAATAGAGAACCCTCAAAAGACTTTATTTGAAAGAACGAATATATTTATGCCTATTTATGAAATAACTCGTTTATTTGGAAGATCGATGGATCAAACAGATCATGGACCAGCAACAGCCAAAAATAGTTCTGTTCCAAAAGCAGTAGAAATTACAACGCTGATCGGCTAACGAATTCATAGAACTAAGGTGCCCGTGGCCATGTAATTTTTTTTTTTTAATTATCAGAATCAGAAGTATCTGTAAAGAAAAGTTATCTACCAGATCTACACCAATTTCTGCGTATATACAGAAAAAGTCGACGGGCTCAGAAATGTTATAAGTGTATCCACAGTTTGGATTAACATGAAAAGCCAAACCTCGACCTAAAATGTTCAAACTTAAAATTTCGCGCCAAAGGTGGGACGTAATAAGTTCACACCTTGTATACTCGGGTACCAAATCGGAAAGGAGTAGGATAATGCACCTAAGTGTAAACAATCTATTTCAGCTATTAAAAATGCAATTATGAAGCCGTGGAAAATACCCCATTATTTAGAGGAATTTGCTCCAGATGCTTAATTAAATGTTCAACTTTTCTAGATCTTCAGCTTTTATCGTTAGATATTGCCACCATTTTGAAAAATTTGTAAGGTTAAGATGCCCATGAAACATGTAATTTTTTAATAATGAAAATATGTATCAGTTACACATTTCAGACCAACTCGATTGTTGATAGCAGATATAACTTATATGGTGGAATATATTTGTAATATTATAAAAAGTAATGTGTCAAGTACATGTATATTTACATTACCCAAATCTGATAGATATTTTGCACCTTGCCTTTTAAACTTAAAGGGACGAAGACAATCGGATCCAAATCCAAAATAAAAATACGTCGAATATCTTCTAGTTCCTTTTCCACTTTTGACTTTTCACAATAGAGTGCTCACGCCACACAAAATCTCCAAAAATTTTTCAAGATCACAGAGTAAGGGCACAATCTTGTAACTGAACTTGTAATACGGTTTACAATCCACGACAAGCTAAATGTTACTACAGGTATATTCATGGTAATGGTAATAGTGGGTACACATTCAGGTAAAGAAACATAATCTCTTTAATTATGGTTCCAGGTAAAATATGCTTTGGAATCGATTAAAATTGATTTAGAAAAGTGCTATTACAAGTTTAGAAAGGTTCATAAACAGTGTCAACAAGTTTATAATATTCACTACACATTAGTTGTAGTATGATAATTTTCACCACACAAGTAGTACATTTTCAGAGTGGAGCCTAAAATATGTGCTGTATAACCAAATTTGAGGTGAAAAATTGATCGGCTGCGATCCCCCGTGAACCCCAGTATCAAATTGACAGGGTTATTACGTAAAAAGATATACAGTGTGTTCGAAAAATAGACGGAGATATTTTTGAGGGTGATTCTTTGTTAAAAAAAAGAAGGAAAAAAAGTATCTATAAACATGGGTCCGGAAATGCAGAGTTTTCAAGATCCAAGGTGATAAATTTGAAAAAACATTTTTTTTATCAACATCTTAAAAAATATTCACTCGATTCTGTTGAAATTTGGCAATATTGTTTGTTGTATTAAGAGGCTAAGTTAGTCCTAAATAGATTAAAATTAGTAGGTCCAGTGGCGTCCAGGAGGCGAATATTATTGGCCAAAAAATGTACGCCCATGCCTTTTTTGTAACTTTAATATTTGTTGTTGTTGTTTGATTAAGCATCTAAAAACAACTTCTTGGCTTGTTTTCGAGAAAAAAAAACCGTTTTATTGCATGTCGCTGGACAAAATTGTCTTATCAATTTTTGCTAAAAAACTCACGTGCCTTGGGAAACAAAATATAACAAAATTTCTAGGAAAGAGTGTTACTGCAACTTTTCCAATAGGTACCATAACATAAAGTTACACTACAACAAATATTAGAAATGCTCCCCATCCATTTCCGTACACCTCACTCGACGAATCATTAAGGATTTTTTCGCGAGTCGCTGTGTAGCACAGTGCAGTACCGGGAACTGATGCTCAAATTTACGCGAAGAACGAGAATAAGGAAAGACGGATGTGACGTCTTTCAGATGTCAAAAAATCACGTGGGGTTCGGGTGACATCCCTTATGTCAATGTCATTTAAAAACAGATATCCCAATTGAAAATTTGTCTTTGGAGTGGCGAAAATTAAATGAGTTAAATTATTATATCATAAATCAAGAAAATGGAGGAACAAGTCCAGCTGATTTTAAATGACGAGGGAGAAGACTATGGGGTCATCCTAGATATAGGAACTGCACTTGTCATATCAAATGGTTGATTTTATTGATATATACATTGCAAAAAACGATCGATTTTTTATTTCAGATTTAAAAAAGGTAGCTAAGTTCATCAAGGAGCTTAAAGCAAAAATTTTACACAATATGCGCCATCTAACCATTCCCGGTGTAACTTGAAACTATCAAAACTTTGAGCGGAGGGGGAAATTCCATCTGTTCCCGCTCCATCCGCTACAGGATCTCGTGAAAAAAATCTTTATTGAACGACGAACTCGAGCTAAAATTCGAGGTCTATTTCACTTCCTCCGCCAGCATTTACGATTTTATTTCTTAATTCTTCTATTGTTTCTATGGAAGTAGCGTAAACCATCGTCTTAAGGTGTCTCCATAAATAAGAATCTATTGAATTTAAGTCAAGGGAGCGAGGTGGCCAGAGAATTCGGCCATCTCTTCCAACCCAATTTTCACCAAAGGTGTTATTCAGATGAGTTCTGAGATGTATACTAAAATGAGGAGCTCCATCGTGCATAAAAGTTACTTGGTTACGTACATTTAGAGGAACTTCTTCTAGCAAAAAGACAAATAATAAAATTTCCGTAATCTAGGGTCTAGGCTTTCAAAGGTTTTACTACCTGCAAGTTGCCGATGAGGAAACGCTTCTGCATACAGGCGCCTCGCTGCATGACAGTTACTGTGAGCACCTGCATACATTACATGCATGCCTGACATTTCCTCAAAAGTGTAATTTTTCATCACAAAAACCGAGACAAAAGCTTTTTTAGAGAAATCTCGCAAAGAAAATTACGTGAATAATTCTTTTTTGGAAGAACTGACACGCAAATGTCAAATTTCAATGCAGAAATAATTTTTTGTTTTCCAAGATACTTTTAGTAAAAATGAATGAACGAATGTTGTCCAGTGACATGCAATAAAACGGTTTTTATTTTTCTTTTCTCTAAAACGAAGTCAGACACAAAAACAATACAACAGGAAAAAAATTGTATTTTTAGATGCTTAATCAAACAACAAATATTAAAGTTACAAAATGGCAGCGGCGTACATTTTTTCCAATAATCTTTGATAAGGTGCCCCCGGGACGCCACTGCACCTAATAATTTTAACCTATTTAGGGCTAAATTAGCAAAATAAATATAATAATAATAATATACAAATACACAAAATAATATTGCCAAATTTCAACAGAATCGAGTAAATATTGTTTAAGTTATTAATCATTTTTTTTTAAGTTCATCACCATGTAGATTGAAAACTTTGCATTTCCGGACCCATGTTTAAGACAATTTTGTTCATATTTTTAACACGGTATAAAATATCTCCGTCTATTCTTTGAACACCCAAAGAAAAAAAAAAGATAAAATGTCAACTTGTTGACCAAGTATGCTAGTGCGCTTGCTACAAGAGAGCATGAAGTGTAAGAAATCTAGTCTTGTAGAAAAACCTACCTAATCTCATAAAAAACCTACATAATATAAAAAATCTACATAATGTAAAAAACATACATAATGTCAAAAAAACATACATAATGTCAAAAAAAAACGACATAATGTCACTTTTGACATCAGATTCGGAATCTACAGACCCAATTTACTATGAAAACGAGTTGTTTTCCAGATTTTTCTGGATCGATTTTTGGCGAATAGAAGCAAAAATCGATTATATGTTGATCGATTTTTTTCGCTCCTTGACACATCGCTACTTAGAAGCTCCTGTGGGTTCTGGCATTAAATTCGATATCAGATTCGGAATCTGCAGACCGAATTTACTCAGAAAACGAGTTTTTGTCCAGAGGACATTTTGAGCAAATTTTCAATTTTCGTTCCCTATTGTTACGAGACAAGACAAACTTGGTTCTCCCTGATAATTTGGAGCATCTTGGGGCGGAATGTAATGTAATTAGGTCGCTTGATATTTGCCAGGGATCCTGGCATCAAAGCAAAATAAATGAAGTCCGATATCGGATTTTTTGTCCAGATCCACATATACTCTAGATCACAGAAATACTAAGAATTTTGAAAATTGTCTCTTTGGAAACCTCTTAAATACACTACTCAAAAAATTAAGGAAGCAAGCATTAAGATTCTAGCTTTTAGGTTTTCTAGCAGAAAAATTTTATGAGCAACGGTTATTTAATTTCAACAGATAGCGCAAGGACAATATTTTGCAAAATGTTTGCATTATTTTTAGTCCACGGGCTTGAAAACATTTTTTCTTGTTAGGCCATTATACGGATCAGATTTTCATTTTATTCAGCTTCAGTATCCTCTTTTTAAAATCCCGAAACGATCATTTGACGCGGAGATATCTGACTTTGAATGAAAAAGGACCCTTTTGTCATCGACCACAGATATCTCGGTAACCAGGGATAGCACAGAGAATGGAAGGTATTTTTGAAATCTGGAATAAATATCCTATAAGATTTGATTACAATATTTGAGGAAAGATTTATTTTGTCCGTCTAGTATAGATTTTAAGACTCAAAAAGTTACTTTTTGCATTGTTTTTGAAAATCGACCGCATTTGTGGAACTGATCATGGTAATGTTTTTAGGTTTTTTCATACCTCAATGTACCCGTAATAACCCTACACGACGGCAGATCGATCCATTACATGGTTTTTCCGCACCGATTGGTCAAAATTTGAAAATTATTTTTTTAGTGTCACTACTGGAGAATCTTTAACACCTTAAATTTTAAATTTTTTATGCTTTTACACGTATTCATGAAATATTCCTCCGTCCGACCGAAATGAGTAAGATCCGACACTGAATTTGCATCTCTTTTAAAATTAATACTAAGGAAACAAAAAAAAACCTCACATATTGCAATCAATTCTTATAGATTTATTCCATATTTCGGAAATAAATTCTCTCTGCGATCACTGATTACCAAGATAACAGTGGACGATGACAAAAGGATTCTTTTTCATTTAAAGTCGGATATCTTCTAAGCCCTACTGAGCGAGGGCCGTGGCAAATGCTTGTTCCGGAAGTTGTTGTATCCAGTATACAACTTCTTCCCGTCCAAGTGATTGTACACGCGTTAAGGAATACCTCAGTACCGATTGCCGGGTGGCGGTCCAAGTCCGCCAACGGGCCACTTTAGGTCTATTTAACATCACAAACACGTAAAAAGAAGGTGGTAGACAAGGACCAGTCGACCGAGGCAGTACCACCCGCTAGCTTTTCCCAGGGTGTCTTATAAATGTCCGCATGTTTCCACACCTAAGCTATGCAGTCGGTTATCTACCAAAACAAAGAAATTAATGATGATGGATCCCTCGAGCACTAAGAACTCCGGACGTAAACTCACTCCACTCTCGGAATGTCCGGGTGGAGGGTGGGCTCGAGGGAACAACATCGAAGATAAAATTTGTTTTTCGAACATCTGCGGGATCAACAGCAACATTGATGCTGTTCATCACTACCTGCAATCCAATCGTCCCGCCGTGCTTTTCTTGGCGGAGACAAAAATCTCAGAGACTGCACCGATTAACCATCTCAACTTCCCAAACTACGAGGTGCACTCCAATCTGAGAAAGAACGGGGGAGTTGTGGCTTTTGTCCGCAGCAGTCTTTCCTGCTCCAGGGATCTTTCTTTGGAATCAGGCCGGAAGGACATTCTGTGGCTTGGCCTCAACTCCAAAACATCACCCAAATTTATTTGCTGCCTTTATCGCTCTCCCTCGAACCATAACTGGGATGACCTACTCGAATACCTCGCCGTCCAGATCGACTTCCTGAACATCAATCACCCCGCTTCAGAGGTAGTTCTTCTCGGTGATTTCAATGCCCATAATGAGCTTTGGTTGGGCTCAAATAAGACCGATGCAGCAGGTCGTGCAGTCGAAGCGTTCGCTCTTACTCAAGGGCTGACCCAGTTGGTGACGAGCCCTACTTTTTTCCCCCGCGTCTCGTCACACGCCAGTAGCCTGCTGGATCTCTTTCTGACCACGCATCCTGCCCCTTACAGCACTGCTGTCCTGTCCCCCCTGGGTAACTCAGATCACGGTGTTGTGGAGGTTAGGTTTCGGTCAGAAGCCGCTGTGGCAGCAGAAACTCGCACAGGCCGCAAAACTTGGCATTACGGACATGCCGACTGGGAGGGGCTCAGAGACTTCTTCTCTAGCTTTCCTTGGTTCTGTTTCACTGACGCGGATGCGTCGACTGTCTGTTCTTCAATAACCGAAATTATCCACGTCGGAATGGAGGAATACATCCCTCACACAGTGAAAGTTCCTAAACCAGGGTCCAACGGCTGGTTCAACAAATCGTGTGACACTGCTCGCCAGCAGAAGATCAAGGCCCACAGAATCTACTTACAAAATCCCACTGTAGAGAACAGACAAGCCGACGTCGAGTCCAGAAACAAATATAACGAAGCGGTTCGCAATGCCAAAAACCAGCATGATATAAAAGTTAGGCACAGGGTAATGTCGCAGCGCAATGGCAGTCGGTCTTTCTGGACGCTGGCCAAGCAGATTGAAAAGAACTTCTCACACAGTAGCCTTCCACCACTTACGTGTCAGGATGGAACTATTATATTCGACTCAAAGGCCAAGGCGGAAGTACTAGCCAAGATCTTTGCTGCCAACTCCACCATGGACGTCCCCACCAACGCCCAAGTACCGTCAATTCAAAGAGTTCCCCACACTATGCGGGAGGTAACATTCAGGCATAAGACCGTAAGACGAGTGCTCTTGTCGCTCGACATCAACAAAGCTTCTGGTCCGGACTTGATTCCTGCCATTGTACTGAAGAGATGTGCAGCGGAGCTTGCTCCAGTTCTTTCGCGTCTCTTCCAGATATCTTATGAATCCGGCACTTTCCCAGAAAACTGGAAATTTGCTCATGTACAGCCCATCCCAAAAAAAGGATCTAAGACCGACCCTTACAACTACAGGCCTATAGCTCTGCTTTCTGTTATAAGTAAAGTGATGGAGAGGTGCATAAATCGCGAGCTTCTGGACTACCTCGAACGTCACAGCTTGATTAGCGACAGGCAGTACGGTTTCCGGCACAAACGATCCACAGGGGACCTGCTAGCTTACGTCACGCAACTGTGGAGTAAACTCATCCAGTCTCATGGTCGTTGCTCTTGACATCACGAAAGCGTTCGGTCAGCTGTGGCACGCTGCCCTCTTAAGCAAACTTCCATCCTACGGCCTCCCAGAAAAGCTTTGCAGATGGGTGGCTGACTTTATCTCTGGCCGCAAGATATCCGTCGTAATTGACGGATTCTCCTCTTCATCCCACAACGTCAACGCGGGTGTTCCCCAGGGATCGGTCTTGGCTCCAACACTGTTTCTCTTACATATCAACGACCTCCTTTCCTGCACGATCAACCCAATCCACAGCTTCGCTGATGACAGCACTCTACATGCAGGAATTCAGAGTGACAAGCCGATCTCTGCCGCTGAGCTGGAAAAAAGAAGACTAGCGACGACTTCTTCTCTGACAAGAGACCTGGAGGCTATCACTGCTTGGGGACACAACAATCTTGTACAGTTCAATGCTTCCAAAACACAGTACTGTACTTTGACGAACAAAAAGCGTCCTAGCGCTCATACAGTTTCGATGGACGGTCGAGTTCTACCAAAGAGTCATTCATTTCGGCTGGTCGGAGTCCAGATCACCGAGGACCTGATCTGGCACGAACACATCTCTTCAATAGCTGCAGCTGCTGGGAAAAAGCTAGGCTATTTGTTTAGGGCTAAGAAGTACTTTTCTCTGCATGACCTTCTCACTCTATACAAGGCCCAGATAAGGCCTAGCCTTGAGTATTGCTCACACATTTGGGGTGCTGCCGCCCCGACTACATTGTCCATGCTCGATGCTGTCCAGAGGAGGGCGGTCCGACTGATCGATGACTCTTCTCTAACAGACAGTCTCGGGACTCTTTCGCACCGGCGGGTCGTCGGCGATCTAGCTCTTTTCTATCGCTACACCAACGGGCTTTGCTCCTCAGAGCTCTCTTCCATGATGCCGCCGCGCGATGTGCCTGCCAGACAGACCCCCTGACTTCGGCGTCCCATCCTAACCGTGTCAAGCTTCGTACATCCAGAACTGGCCGATACGACCGCTCCTTTGTCCCGAGGGTGTCTAGATTGTGGACAATCTAAGGGAGGAAGCTTTTCCCAGTTTTACTAACTTTAGGCAGTTCAAAAATCGTATTAACAAAATTTCTTTGGTATCATCATAGCAGCCGCGGTGTTCCGGCATTTAGGCTTCTGCCTGCGCGGCTGTTTCGATAAAAAAAAAAAAAATCTCCGCGTATCGAGATTCTAAAATCTGGATATTGAATCGGAATGACCGGGCTATATAATCCATATGATGGCCTAACAGAAAAAACTTTGTTCGCGGCGATAGACAAAAATTTAGCAAATAAATTTCCTTGTGCTATTAGTTAAAATTGCATGAGAACCGTTACTCATAAAATTTTTCGGCTAAAAACCTGCAAAAATGCCCTTTTTAAAGCCTAGATACGACCATTTTTCACCGAAATACAGCCTGTCAAAAATCACCGAAAAATTGGATTTTTTCCTTGCTTCATTAATTTTTTGAGTAGTGTATTACAGGACTGTATCACATTGTGAAGGAATACCGTTATCTGCTACGCGTATTGAGAAGAGAACCAGAGAGTTTACAACTTCATAGGTAAATGTGCCTTCTATGACAGTCTAAGGGCAGATATATTTAACACAACAGTTTGACAGTGAAAGTGACTTCTGAATTCATCCTGACATCCTGACCTTTATCAGGTCAGATAGATTCAATAAAAGGATTCTGAAGGAAGTAATCACGTATTCTTGGCAGATTCAATGTCGGCAATTATTGCTATTTTTTAAAAAGAAAAAATATTTATTGCGAATATGATTACATAAAAGAGAAACAAAGTGAAAATAAAACATACAAATTATTTTTTTACCTTACTGAATCTCTCCGCAGGAATCAATTGCAACTGAATAGGTTCCATTGTTGTGACATTGCCAAACCTGACCTCTGGAATATACAGAGCGCAAACAACATGGGCCCATCCCTGGTTATCAGTTCTTTTAAGAGCTCCATATTTGCTTGGACACAATTCACATTTCTAAAAAACAAATATTTTTCCCAGATTTCTGCGAAAAATTCAAAATTACAACTTCTAAAGCTTTTGTTAGTAAAAAATTTATGAAATCAATAAATTGTTATTGAGAATTTTTGTTCTCTCAAAGGTAATTTCAAACATACATGAAGTATTCTGAAAGTTTTGAGAGTACTGAGATGACAATGACTGCACTTTATAAGACTATTTTGCCAGTGGCACTGATAACAAATGGTTATAAAAATATTTTTGCTATGATGTACCTATAGAAATGTTAACAATGGGTGATGGTAATGAAACTAATGTTGCTTGAAATTGCCTATAATGTTTATACTAGGCCACACCCCAACGTATCACTTACCACTTTGACAGATCTCTCTTGACTTTCACACTTACGACAAAACCATGGACCCGTGGGAACTGTCACTATACCATAACAAGCTAAAAAGAAAAACTACAATAAATTATACTTACATTGTACGAGGGATGTCTTTTAAGTTTTGCATATGGAAATAAGACGACACGGTAGGTAGTTGTAAATGATTTTATAGTTTTTCGAAGTATTCTCCACGAAAATTAATACCTACACATTTGCATGCGCTCGAACCAATTTTTGAAGCACTTATTCCACTCGTTTGCTGGCAGATCCAAAACGACATTTTTGAATGCGTCAACTGCTTCTTCTGGTGACTGGAACCTTTGACTACGCTGTCTGCTTTTAATTTTCGGGAAAGTAAAGAAATCGTTAGGACTTAGATCGGGACTATAAGGAGGATGGTCCAATAATTCCACGCTTTCTTCCGTTAAATATTGCTTTGTTTTTTGGGCTGTGTGCGAGCTTGCATTGTCTTGGTGGAGGATGATTCTTCTTTCGGGGTTGATTTTTCGAAGCTCGGTGATGACTTTTGGCAAACAAATGGTGGTATACTAATCTGCAGTAACAGTTCTTTGCTCATCAAGAGGAATTGTTGAAATATGACCCGCTTTTGACACAAATGTCGCGACCATCTTTTTCGAAACACTTCTAGCACGGATGACTTTTGTTGGCTTTTCTTCACCTTGGAACACCCAAACAGTCAACTGTCGTTTATTTTCTGGTTCATAACAATAAATCCACGATTCATCACCACTAACAATGCTGTACACATTTTTTGAGTTTCCGGAATTGAAACGGTCAAGCGTTTTTTCACACCAATTAACCCTGGCTGCTTTCTGCTCTTCAGTCAACAGGTGGGGTATCCAACGAGAAACTAATTTTCTTACTCCTAATTCTTCATGTAAATTTTTTGAATTGAGGTCTTTGAGGTCTTCAAGGACGCCTCAATCTCGCGATATGTCAAATGTCTATCTTCAATGATGAGTTTGCGCACACCATCGACGTTTTCCTGGGTGACTGCCGTTCTTAGTGCACCCACCCTGGGATCGTCGCTAAGAATCACCCGTCCACGTTTGAATTATCCATACCAACGGGAAATCGTCGACTGATGTGGCGCTTCGTTGCCGAAAACAGACAGTAAGTCAGCAAGGCATTCTTGTTGCGATAATTGTCTCTGAAAGTTGTAATAAGTTATGACGCGAAAATGTTCTCGGTTGAGTTCCATTTTTCTAATGACTTGGCGACACTTAAAAATTCACTGTAGTGAGAACACTGCACGTATTGTTGTGAAACTTTCAATTTAAGTTTACTAAAGAGCGAGGTTAAAATTCAGTACTGACGTTCGATCCTCGCGGCCTACTATGTTTCTATATGCAAAACTTAAAAGACATCCCTCGTAATAAATGGTTTGGAAAAGCACAACATGGGTGATTTTGGCGTTATTTCTTTATCTCGCAGCAACCAATGGATTTTGTCTCTTTAATCAGGATTGCTAAAGGTACAAAAAATCTTATAAACAGCATAGATATTAGACTGATAACATGAATGAAGATGAGGTCCGTTTTATTTTCTGAAATAAGGCTGTCAGCTTTTAGTTATTGGTGATAGGAACTCATTGCAGATATCAGAATTAGATCCTGGCCAATAGGTAATTAACAAATAACAGATGGAGGATCTAACCATTGCATTCCTAAAGCCTGATATAAAAATCATAAAAGTAAACAACCCAGAAAAACCTCATTTTTCGTTTAACTATCACGATCTGGAAGATGGATGCTAATTTTGGGCACAATGCTATAGGAGAATGGTGGTGTATCCCACATTTTTTGGTAGTTTGAATCCAATTGAGATTAGTTTCATTGTAAATTGAGCGGTTTTCAGAAATAGAAAGAAAAATGTCATCACTTTTACTTCCCACGCCTACTGGTGAGGAAGTATAGTAATCGCGAAAAATTTCGAAGATGAGATATGTTTTTTGGATGCTATATGACAAGCACATCACGAAAAACCATGTCACTCATTTCCATCAGTGTGTCTGTCTGTCCGCTAATATTTGGACCGCCTATAACTTGGAAAAACTGCTCGGATTTGGATGAAATTTCTACACACGGTTTCTGCCAGTGCCAAGGACGAAAAAGCTGTAGTTTTTGCAAATCGGTCTATTGGCGGCTGAGCTAGAGACACACGAATAAAATAAAATCGCTTCATTTTTAATATTTCAGAGGAAACTGATTATTTTCAGAAACCGTTTTGTATGGGTTTAAAATCGGAGTGTGGGAGTATATATCATTTTGTTGGCGGTAGTACAAGTGAAGGCTTCCAAACCCAGTACTATTTTGATTTGCATTTGCCCTTACGACTTAAACAAATATTCATAGATTTGACACGCGGTCGTCGGGACGATCCGATACGATGGTGATGTTCAAACGCAGAATCCTGCCTTGCGTCTAAGAGCACCGCCGACGAGAATGTTGTGCCGTAGCTGGCGATTATGACGTGTTTGACTAGTGTGGTTCAGCAGCGTTGCCAGATGGTCGATGGTGGACGGTGTTGCGGAAGTGTAGAGTCAACCTACTTTACACCATTTTTCCCCATGTATTACGGCAGTTTTACCTGGCTTTTGTAATTACCAGATTAAAAATATGACTGAGCACTTCCTAAGCAGCACCGTCATCAGTTCATAAAGAGTCAAGTTTAGCGCAATTTAAATCGTTTGAGAAAAAAGTCAGTTATGAATACAGAGAAATTAATCGGATCAAGTCAGTTGAACAGGTAGATACAATAAGTCCATAGAGATTCTTTCCCTATCCACATCTACGTGGCACTGCTGCAGTGAGTTATCGTTCATCCGTGAATACGAGTATGTTTTGTGCTGCAGTACGGATTGATTAGTCAGCCGGACCGATACGGCGGTGAGCTTAGATAGGAGTACGCGAATTGAAAACATTTCTTAGGCAAATGCGTGGGAAAATCTCTGGCGTTTAATATGGCTAGTAGGTTCATAGAATTACCGCGGTTGGCAGAGTATAAATAGACGAGTACTAACTGAAAAACTTCATATACACCCCCTTCAACCACCAACCCCCAAATTTCAATCCCCTCAAACATTTTTCTGGAAATGATCAGGAGTGTCTGAAACATCGAAAAACGTTTGAGCCACTGATTTTTATTTTTTATGTTTCTGTCCCTAGCTCCGCCGCCACTGGACATATTTTCAAAAGCTACAATGTTTTTTGGTCTTTGGCATAGTACTGACCTTGTGTGAACATTTCATCGGAGCGATACTTTCCAAGTCAAAGACGGTCCAAGGATGAGCGGACAGACAGTCAGACCAACGGAAATGAGTGACATGGTGCCATTTCATGCTGATCAAAAAACATAATATCTCATGTTCGAAATTCATGATTACAATACTTCCTCGACCAGTGCGTAGGAAGTAAAAGCGCGAAAACTTATGAAACCTAAGTACGCACCTAGGATATGGACAATATCAAGAAACAATAATATCACCTGCTGAATACTTGATGTTCATGCTGATTTTGCAATGTTACTCTGAGAGATGAATAATAATTGTATAATTATGTACATGATATCTTTCACTAATATATATATAAATGTATTTGTTTATGAGTAATATTCCGTCGACACATGGATGGGCCACCTTTTATATATAAAGTGGAAATAACCAATGATATACAAACCATTAACACGGCATATATGTATGCTTCATGAACTTAATTTTTGGAGATAAATTATCACTTTCGAGGGGTCATAGCAGTTTTCTTATGTTTGGTGGACCCCTAACAACAAAATTTAACACCTATCAAACTGATTCACTCAGGGCCCAAAACGTTGCTACTTGACACGATGTTTTTGACTATCTTAATACAGGAAACAAGTACGCGTTGTCCGCGGGACGGCCAACCATGGTCCGAATCGGCGGCATCTAGCGGCTACAGTGGTGACCCGGACGACAATGTGACATGGGATAGAGTTCCTACAGATGGCCAAACAGCTTGCTGTCTTCACTGTCGCAGTGGTCGATTCTGGTAATAGATGGCACTTTGTGCTGTCTTATTTCAATAGACCTTATGCTCTGGCTAGAGGATAGTGGCTTAGTTTTTGTTCTTTGTCCTACCTGATATCAAGCCTACACCATGCTGAGAAATTGCCAAATACCACAAAACAGCTGTTTGGCCATCTGTGGTTTTATGAACAAAAGCCTTATTACTAGAATTTTTCAATATACTCAATTTGTGATGGTTTGAGCTCAATATGGGCATGTGGATGTATACTGTGAGCAGGCATTTATGTCTAAAATAACATGATGAAAAGTGGAAGGTAAATAGTACCTTGATGTACAGCTACAGTGCAGGATTGTCCATCACAGTAAACAAGTGGGTTTTCAGACCAGCCTCTATCGTCAGAACACACGCAACAACCTCCTACCATTTCCCTCATAATGTTGTAACCCACAATTTGCTAAACTAGCGAAGTTCCACGTGCGCGCCCCTCATGTCTAGTACCACTATTCTGTAGTTATTCATATTGAATAAAACCTGCAATTTGCAAAAGACACCTTCATTGGACACATAATTAAGTCATTAAACTTAAACAAGTTATTGCTACATGGCATTCTAGAATATAACAGTCTCAGTTGGTGTCATTTGAACCAATATCAAATCCACTCTTTGGAAGGGATTCAAAACAAATTTGTAATATTTCTATTATTCAAACTTTCATTCCTGTACTCTGGACTGCCATATAAGACCTAGATACAACTAATTGGTTGAAAAGTCTAGAATTTTGTAGGCAAAATACTACATTAGCCAAATGTATCCTTATTTGAAGGATATATCAGTATGTACATTAAAAATAAACATAGACTAGCCACTATGAGCACCAGTATCTCATTACTATACAGGGTGATTCAGAAAAAATATGTCTGGGGTAGAAAGCAGTTGGAAAACTAAGAGAAAAAGCCCTGATAAATTTGGGTAATGAAATGCCCCTTTACATACAAGGTATTTAAGTTTTTGTCAAACAAAAAAAAAATATACATATATATCTTTGGAGTGTCAAGATATTGTTTTAGAATTTTGAATATGTAATGTTAACAGTATAGCCAATACACACAAAAATGTGTCTGAGACTAAACCAGTGGCATATAAATAGGTGAAATTTAGCTATTACAGAAGAAAAAATAACATTATTTTCTACACCACTGACTTTTTTTAAACATCTATTTCTAATCGCCTCTCTTGATAAATGATTTGGAAAACTGGTTTGAATATTTCAGGTAAAATCGACATAATATATAAAAAACTTCTACTTTGAAAATAAGCTGAGATTGGAAATTGTATGTAGTGCATTAGTAAAGTAATCCTATCTCACCATAACATTATTTGGACAATGTTTATGTTCTGTCTTTATCAGTGGGGTAGAAATTTATAATGCACAGTCTCTTGGTAGTGGGTAATTTTAGGACCTTTTTTTGTTATTCTTTTATGTACTTTTTATCCTAGAAATTTTGCCATGCTTTCCTGAAACAGCTTTTGTTGCTTTTGGGCATACTATGTCATAAAGATTAAAGTTGTCACTTCAGGTGTTTGTTTTGAGGTGGGGGTGAATGAGATTTGAGTACATGAGTTAGTTGGTAGTCGAGTCAAGTTCTCCACTGCTTTGTTGATCGGTAAGCCCTATTTAAAATGGTAGGTGTTTATTATCACTGTCATTGATTGACCACCTGTCAGTTTGGTACTCCAACTTGTTAATGTAATTTGCATGAGGACTAAATATAGGAGGTTAATCCCAACGCGTGAGGGTGATGCCAAAAGTGTGAACGAAGTTAGTACACTGTGCAAGAAATCAATTTCAGGTGCTGCACATAGGGCATCTCTCTCATATATACACTGCACAGAAAATAAATTTCAGATTCTGCCCATGTGGAATCTCCATCAATTGCTGTCATCGTAACTGTACACAATTCCAATTTTGACAGTTTAGATTTTCACAGGGGAATATTAGATAATTTTAATAAACCATGAAGTAATAAACCTACAAAACATGGCAACATGAGAGTGAAATGGAAAACCTTGTGAATCAGGTTTTCATGCTGTTGTGAAATCAAAATATTTGTTTGCAGCAATTTTTTTGAGTGACTGTAAAATTGCAAGTACATGCAGATTGCAGCTGGCTATGTTGCCATTTTCCAATGCACATATGCTCTATACACTATTTCATGAGTATCCATCATGCTTTGATGTCAACTGAGGTGAACAACTGATCATCAAGTGACATTTTTGTGTTAGTCTGCAACATTGGCAATGATGAATCGGGTGTAAATCTGTTAAAACTTGTTTGTAGCACTTTTTTTTGCATGCAGATGAACTTTTCTACATAAAAGAGCTTTTAGCAAGTACAAAATGAATCTGTAAATAACCAACACAAAATATGGCTCAGTCCAACTGGCACTGATGGATTCATCACAATTATGTGTCCTTTGCCGATATGAGGAATTTTTAAAGTACATATTACTAGATAATCAGCAATCATTCTACCAATATTAAAGATAAAAAGAAACAAGATATTGGCTGCAGAAGGGTTTATCGACTTCATCGGTATCATTTGATATTAGAAAGACAAAAATAATTGTGAATTGAAACTAAAAAGTCTCAAATTATAACTACTGTAAGGCATATCAAAAAATGTCTTGTTCAGCTTATTTGCACATTACAGCACGTCTTTTTACTCACTAGTTTACCTTCCCCTCTTATTGGCTGACAGAGCATGTGATGCAAAATTACAAAGTACTAACAGCAATATCTACAATTTTTTTTCTCATTCAAAGTTGAAATGTGAACTATAGAACTTTTAGCACACATAATTTTAAACGTTTTATTATAAAATACGACATGTAATCCTGAAAATAATCCATTATAATAGTGTTTGAAGAATGTGAGTTTAATGCCCCAAGATCAGCATAATTCATCCTGCCTGAAAACAGTCTATTCGGCATATTTAGCGGTTTCGAAGTAGCCCTAGCGTGCATTATAGCAAACAAAAGAAATGCACTAATGCACTCACAAACTAGAACAAGGTTATTTTGACTATAAACAAAATGCAGTTATGTAAGATGCACTATGCATCGGAATCGTGTAACATATCCCTCGTAGAGCTGTTTTTAGCAGCAAATTCTCCCCCTGTGAGAAAAGAGCGCTTTCATATCAGGAAACAATCGAATTCTTTATATTTATTTACGTTTAACGTGTTTGGTAGCGTGCCGTAGTTCTAGACTGTGGGGAATAGTTTCTGCTGATAATCAACAATCACTGAACTGATTTTCACATGACAAATTGTTCTGAACAGCGAAAAGTCTGTTTTATCGCGTACTTTTATGTAAAAATTCATTATTCACACTGCACTTCACTGGAAACCATTTTGTTTTTGTGATTATTTTCATTTGTCGGAGATTGCGCAAAACGGCGCGAAAAAAGGCTTTGCCGTGTTGTCAAGCTAACAGTGTTTTCTGCAATATGCAGAAATTGACCGCTGAACAATAATATTTTTTCTCTCCATCCCATTTTGGGAAAGAAGAAATGCTTATTTCGGTACGGCTAGTTGTTCAGCAGAGCTGCGCATTACTCATCTTCTGATTTTCTCTGAATATTACAGGTTGATTTCAAGAGAAGTAGCGTAAGATTACTCCTTATATCTCTTTATGTACGCCCATGGTTGCTATGGCACATGGCATATGTGACATAATGACAGTACATTTATGTGTTTATGTCACCTTTGACGTATGTGTGCGGTTTACGACCGGTTAATTTAGATTCAGAATCAATTAAATAATGCTTAATACTGTAGAGTTTGTATGAAGAAAAATGATTTATAACCCTAGTGTCTGAAAAATTCGTAACTCGTCAATCTATTTCTGAAGTTATGTTATGTTACGCCCCTGACTTTTAAACGTCACTGTAACCAGAAACTATCATTGTCACCAACATAAATCTAGTAAAATTTGAATAACATGACATTATATAACATTGTTTGAATTCAAATGTATGGTTGGCGGCCCTGATTGTTGTTAGTGTGACGTTGACGCACAGTGACAGTACAAAAAAAAGGTGTGGTAGGAAATAGCTCATCAGTTTGTTTTTGTGTGGTAAACTTCTTTCAGAGCTTTCGCTTAGCTTTTACGTTATTTTACTCCGTGAAAATGTGGAAAGCTGCTGCCGGACATCAGGTGCAAGTTGATGTTGGAAATAACGATGATGATGATGACTGGGAGACTGATCCAGATTTTATAAATGATGTAGATGAACAACAACAAAGATGGGGTTCAGCTACTGTGGAAGGCTCTGGGAGGACTGCGGGAGCCATAGAGTGAGTAATAATGCGGATGCTCTAAAGACCTCTCAAATGGACAAGCCAGGCCTTTGTTTCTCATTATTTTAATTATCTCGAACTTATTGGTAAGAATGTTCCTTTGTTAGGGTATTGAGACCCCCAATTCTTGTAATTTTATATATAATTGAATTTCAAAGATGAGCTTGATAGCTGTTAAGGTACCTCAATACTTATGGTCTGCCTTTGGTGTACAAGAATGTCTAATACCGGTTCTGCATTGACAATAAATCCTCAGATTCCTTCATAGATTGAGTTCATGGCCAAATTTCAAAAGTATAAAACATTCATTTGACTTCAGATAAATCCATCCATTTCTTCACAAAATTAGAACTTGTTCTAATTTTTGCCAAGTTGGATGTCAAATTCCATGGTGCCAACCTTCTTTTCCTTTCAGTTACATTGAAGAACTTTTTAATTTGAGTATGGGCCTTTTTTAAGTCTATAGAACTCAACAATATAGTTTTTGTTTATAATATTCACCTCAAAATCAAAACCACAATACATATAAAAACTCAAAATGTTTCTAGCAACAATTTGTTTTATGGATAGCAGCACAGTTAAACCATGAATTTGTCCATAGATGTAAACACTGCAAAACATAATCAGGATGACCTTGAAGAAATCCATTCAATGAATAAATTCGTGAAGATATTGTTGATGTAAAATGGGTATAATCAATATTTTTTCCTGTCCTATGTGTATGTTGATAAGAGAATATTTGTTTTCAGTATGGCAAAACTGAGAACTGAAACTGAACAGGCAGATGCACTAAAAAAGAAGAAAGCTTTAGAGGAAAGTGAGCATAATCCAGCTAGAGGATATGGAGGAAAATTTGGTGTGGAAACTGATAGAGTTGATAAGGTTTGTTGAGGTTGTAACATGCTCTGCTCAGTGGCATGGTGGTGGACCCTGATTAGTTGTATGGGTTAAATCCTGGCCCAAGAGAATTTTCCTTTTGGCTATACTCGTTGATGTTGTAATTATCTGTAGGTGGTAGATGGTATTATTCTGTCAAGGATGGAGGTACCTCCCAGCTGATCTCTAATTCAGGTCCTAATGTGTGCATGTAACATGTACACTTGTTCCACTGCTAGAGTCCATGTGACATCCCCCTCTTTTTCCTGTATCCTCCTATTGCCCCATGGTACCCACAGATATTTAGGCATCAGGTCTGCATGGTGGCTCAAGTATAAAAAAACTCCAAAACAGATAAAATTCAAATTGACTGCATACATAGGTAAATTCTCCATAATGTACAAGTTTACCATTTTTTTATTATCAGCTCAAATGAGAGTTTAGGAAAAATAAAACAAGATGGTGAAAAAATTATTAAATTAACTCTAAAAACACAAAAAGTTACAGCCTATCAAAGTCGCGGCCCGCGAGAATATTTTTATTCCGTCTGTACGCTACGCGTGACGTCATACTTCAGTATCCAGTTGCAACGCCCGTAGCCGATTCCTGGGCCCGAGCCGACTCAATCTCCTAAAGCACATGCATAGGCACACATACAGCGGGAAACATCGTAGGCTAAACGTCTTCCGCCCCCATTGGTTTAATTAGTTGACTGCTTATACGATCGGTTATGAGTGAAATAAGGAAAAAAGGTTGTTATAAATACTATACCGTTCCAAAGTGTACGAGCACAACAATTACTACCCTCTAATAAACATATTTTTTACATACCTTCACATGAAATTATAAGGAAACTTATGAACCGCGATTTGATTGGACCAAAATGTACAACGTATGTCTCTGAGGACCAGTTTGATGTGAGTATATCACTTTACTATTTAATTATGATTATTAGTTATTATATGATTTCCAAGCTCATTTCACTGTACACGCGTTATTGGAGGGGAAATATTTATCAACTAATATTACAGGTCACTTATTTCAACTCAGCAAGAATAGCTATCAGCTACTATAGTGTCACATACCCCTAAAAATTCTTCAAGTAGGTTGTTCTTTACTGTGTGCATGTGCAATGTTATTATATACTTTAATGAGTTTTTAGAAAAGTAAGACCTTTATCAAATTAGGTTACTTCAAATTTCGACTCCGAATGACTTTTTGTTATTACAGATTGAGAATGATATCGAAAATCTAATAAAGTATAAACTAGTCGGTAGAAGATTGAAGCTGAAAGCCGGAGTAAACCCTCATAAGTTTGACTGCCAAAAAGGTGTGTGGCCTCTAAGAGAATGTGGAGCATATGAGAAAAAGCGTCGCGCAGGCTGCTTAGACGGCTTGTTAAAGAAAGATGTTCCCTCCACCTTAAGTTGACAACCATTCGAATATTATTATTTAGTCTGACTCAACTCACGAGAAATATCGTGTCATATTCGCAAATCTGTACTCATATTAAGCATCTACACTAATTTGTTTAAAACCTCAGTAGGGTATCGCACATTTTGCCGCTAGTTGTGATAGTGTAGCAGTAGACATAAATAATTACTTACTTCCAAAGTTTTACACCTTTTATTTCCCGCTTGTATATGACGGATTTGAAGAAATGAATTACATCACTGCATAAATGTCAATTTTGGGCAAATTGTCACTTAACCCTTTCACAAATCTGGCTTCCATAATGGTATGAACTTACATAGTACTCTATAGTTATCGACTAGAAACCACGAGTCCGAGCGCACAGATGTGTCTTATGAATTGTCTGTAGACTAATGACTAAACGCACAGACGCTGTCGAACACCTACGCGACGAGATACTGGGCAAAAGAGAAGTGTGACGTCAGACGCGAACGTACGGCAGCTATGATTTCGCGCTACAATGCGCCTAATTTAAGTATCAATTTACTCTGTCATTTATTGGCCGATTTCAATAATTTTTTCACTGGCTGATTATATTTAGTCTATATTTTGCTGGTATGTCATTACTTATGCGATTCTGAATGCCACGAAACTTCTCCATTGTACTATTAAACCCATATGGGGCCCCAAACTCTGCCCCATGACTCAAGTTTTTTTGCTTATACCAAAGAAATGTGAAAATAGCAATTTTTCTCTATGATATTTATAGCATTCTCTTGAGAAAATTTTTAAAAACCCCTAGCTCCAGTATGATTTTTGATATGTTGATTGTTATATTCCTATTCAGCACCCCAAATTACCTCAGAGTATCAAGTTACATTCACTCATAACAATGGAATATGAAAAAATTGTGACTGATCTATATTTTCTATATTGAACAGATTTTTTTATGATTATCTTACAAAAATATTGTTTGTAGAGTGCAGTCAGTTGGGATCACAAAGAAAAATTGGAGAAACATCCATCTCAAAAAGACTATGTTTCTGGATTTGGTGGAAAATTTGGTGTACAGATGGACAGACAGGATAAATCTGCTATGGGTTGGGACCATATAGAAAAAATTGAAAAGCATGAATCACAAAAAGGTATGTCCTCTATTAACTGATGGAGATTAGTTTTTACAAATGACCAAACAATGGACTAGCGCAATCTTAGCCTGCTAACACAATGCTGTTATTGTTGGAAAAAGCAACTGGAGAACAGTTGGTTCATCATTATTGACAAATATAGTCAACAACTTTTGAAATGCCAAATGTCAGAGGTAGTTATTAAGTGAATTTGTTTCATGCAGCAATTTATGTTATTTTTACTTAAATTCCAGAGGTATTAATGAAACAAAAGGAAAGAATAGATTTGCATACAGTGTTTTTCTAAGAGCCTACTAGTTTTTTGAACAGGTCAACTTAGTAAGCCGAAATTCAGGGTTATGATTTCATACTTTGGTATATTGTAACACATATAGTGTGGTAGACCACAGGCAGCTAGTGTGTCAGTTCTGATTTTTTTTTGGTTCTGTGTTGTGATGCCAAATTATGTATGTTGTCAGTTAGTTGCCAGAAAGTAGGTTGGGGTCGGAGATTATTTAAAAGAAAACAAAAGATCGCTCATTTCATTTCTTTATTGGTTCTGTCAGATTATCATAGGATGACGTAGAACATGTCAATGGTATAGTACAATAGAGTAAAAAACATACAGAAAATAAATAAGTAAATAACATACAAATATGCAAACTTTTAACTGAAACAAACATTGAAAAAATGTGGTAGATACAGATTAAAAGATTGCAGTGTTTAAAATATACAGGGTGACTTTGAAGTTGAGTAATTAATTTTCAGATAATGATTGTAGAAGGAAGATAAACCAAAATATGTGTGTAAAAATAAAAAAAAAATAAAAAAAAATGTTACCTTGTTTTATAAAGTATCCTCCCGACAAGTATTTCAGTGCGGACCTGTATTTGTTCGTGCAGTCTTGGAGCACCGACATGCCCTCCCCTGTGAGGTCTTAAGTCACCTGATTCACGAGCCCTTTGTACTACATTAACAAAGGCACGAGGGGTTGGTTGCACTCGATTAAATAAGAATCATGTCCACAAGTTAGGCATTTTCGTAAACATGTGCCATTTTTTATTTCGTTTGAGCCACGCAACAAACACCACTATTCACTCACGCGTTACCGACTGAAACATTGACTGACATCGTGATAAACGTTTCAAATTCTTTCGCTTTTTTGTTTCCGATGCGATGAACAGATAAGGCGGATTATATCCGTTGTTGCCAAACACGAGCACATAATATTGTTATTGACACAGGGCGGTACTCAAACTTCTAAAGGGCTATAACTTTGTTAATTTAATTTTACCAGAAAAATGTTAAAGGAACAAAACATTTCTTTGATCAGATCTACTCTCTGTTAAAATAAATGACTCAACTTCGAATGTATAAATAAAATACATGGAATATAAAAAACATATAAAAATGAATAAGAATAGTACCTGTTTAAAATTTATACATAGGATACCACATAATTGGTCATTTATCAGCTAATCTGAGAAGTACTCATCAAAGGAGTAATAGACTTTACTATTTAATAGTGCCTTAAATTCAAGTTTGAAAATGGTGAGTGGCAAAGCCCTGAGGATATTTGGCAATTTGTTGAACAACTTAACACCCATTTGGTTCGGGCTGCATTTAGACAATCTTTGAGTGGGAACCTGTAGGACAAGCAAATTTCTTGTTAAGTACCTGTTATGGTCATTCAGCATCAGAAAATCATTCAAATTATTTTACATGTAACAACAGCTCTAGAATGTATATGGATGGCAAAGTTAGTATTCCTAACCGTTCGGAAATACAATAGGAAACAACGAATTTTTTTACAGATATTTATTAGAAGTTTTAGCTTGCTTGAGGGGGAAAATGAAATTTCTAGGATTCCTGGATTCCCATAGCATATTATTGCTATGGTTAAACACATTTTGGGAGTATGTATGATAATTTCATATCTGTATTAACAGCTTCAGTAGTAGTAGTAGTAGAACATCATGTAATTGACTCTAGAAGTAAAAGTTTAGGAGTCCAAATTGCAAAAAAAATTATGTCAATGCGCCGCACACCTTTTTTTAATTTACATCAACAGCAACTCAGCTGATTGAAGTCCAGACCACTGAGTACCTGATTTGGCATGAACGCATCTCGTCAATCGCGGCAGCTTCTGGGGAAAAGTTGAGTCATTTATTTAGTTCAGAAGTAATTTTCCCGCATAACTTCACTATGTATAAGTCACAGATAAGGCCCATCCTTGAGTACTGCGCACAGTTTTGGGGTGCTGTTGTTCCAACTATACTGTCTATACTCAATGCTGCTCAGATTGGAGCTGTCTGAGTGTTCGTGACACTTCTTTAATGGACAGTCTCAGGACCCTTTCAAACCAATGGGCGGTCGGCGATCTGGTTCGAGTTGAATCTGCCAGACTCCCATTCTCTTAAACTCCATACATCCAGAATTGATCTGTATGACAGCTCCTTTATTTTGCTCTGGTCAGCAGCATGAAAAATCACGTCGTGGATCCAAATATGAGATGGTCATGTTTGTCATATGTCAAAATATCCTGTCCTGAATTGCCGGATATTGCGATAAGGTGAAGATTCAGAAGATTTTTCCAATTATCCCAAAAAAACTCAACAAAACATAGGAAAGCCGGAGTGTAATTGTCCACGCTTGACATCATAGGTAGCTATTTATACCATTTATAAACCTTTTTGTTATGCAAAAAGCGAGTACAAGGTACATTGTTGCCGTTGAATAAGGGATGCGAGCTCAACGTTTGCCAGATTTGTGTGTCAAATGGTGGTGCCAATGATTTGCCTGGGAGAGAAGTATACAAGAAAGGTGCGCTCTCCAGCCCAGTTGAAATTAATATTATGACACGTATTTAAGACATGATGAATAAAGAACATTTACTAATGTAATGTCTACTACTCTAACATTCCATATTCACACCTCAAATGTTTAGTATGCTATCAGGGAAAACTTTCACAGATGAAAGAATAATGTTATCATTACTTACGATAGAGGCATGTCTTTACGTGAAATATCTTTCATCTGTCTACTTAAATTAGTATGTAGTATGACTAAGAATTTCATTGTTAATACATACTCACATGCTACAAACACTGTTCTCAATTATGTAAAAATTGTCTTATATGAAAATATCGATAGATGTGTCCCAAATCGCTGGTATTGAACTCTGTAGTTAATTCTCTCCAGAACTCATCTTATATATTTGTTCAATTGCCTCGTATTCTGAAACATACAAGCAACAGCTCAATGTTATTTCTGTAGTCTTTGTAAATGTGTTTGTACTTATTGAAACCTTAAATTTGTTGCTTTAGGTGGCCAAAATGTTTATTTACATGTTTCACATAACTTATGTGTTTATGATATTAGCTAATACCAGTAGGAGTTATAGAAGGAGTCTTAGATCTTTCTATTTTATACAGGGTCCGTCAGAAAGAACGCATGTCTTTTAAATGAGTAGTACAGTCAAAATAAGTATGGGAAAAATATTTTATTGTATCAAAATACTCAGAAATACATGCCATTTTTTGAGTAAAACAAAATTTACGTTCTAAAAAATATGTCGGCCATATGGCGCCCTTGAGCCGAAATGCAGGAATCAAACCTCTTCCGAAATGATCCCATTGCGACGGCCAGCATCCGTGCAGGAATGTGGGTTACTTCTCTTCTTAATTCCTCCTTCCAACCGACGAGGGTCCGAAGCTTTGGTAAACTTTTGTTTCAGGTAGTCCCATAAAAAAAATCACACGTTGACAGGTCCGGCGAGCGAGGGGGCCATGGAATATCGCCATGACGTGAAATGAGACGTCCTGGGAATTTTTGCCGAAGAAGTTCCATCTAAGTGCGAGCTGTTGTGTTGTTCAGCATGTGGATGTTACGCTCTGAATTCACAGTAGTTGTTTCTCCATCATCCTCAAAAAAATAACCGTCGTTGGACCTACAACAAACTGTAACTTTCGGGGTATGCAGGGGGTGCTCATGCAACTGTTGGGGGTTCACTGGAGACCAATATCGACAATTTTGTTTATTGACGTATCCATGTAAATGAAAATGTGCTTCATCACTCATAAACAACGTCATGTCATTGTTATCCAACTGTTCAATCATGAGTTGTGCAAAATTAACATGTTGTGCATAATCCCATGGCAACAGTTGTTGACAAACTTGGATTTTGTAAGGATGGAACACTAAATCCTTCTTCAAGATGCGATGTACAGAGGACGCGTGGATCCCTAGGGAACTGGCACGCAAACGGACAGAACGATTCGTGATTTGCAGCGTGTGAACTCTCACTCTGTCTACGTTTTCGGGGGTTGTAACAGTACGGTTTCGCCATGGCGGTTTTTTTCTTCATCATATTACATGTTGTGTTGAATGCTTCCACCCATCTCAAAATGGTGTTACGGTCTGGTACTGTCCCACGACGAGGAACACGAAAGTGAACGCGAAACTCACGTTGCGTTCGAACGACAGACTCGCCATTTTGAAAGTACCGATGTACAGTGAACACACGATGCTCAACGTTCCAAACCATCTTACTAACTGAAACGGCAGTTCTCCCACTATCCAACACGCCTTTCAATACCGACACGGGACCAGCCCACTCGATGTAGTACCCATTCGAAAAACATGCGTTCTTTCTGACGGTCCTGTATATCAGTGCCATGAACAAGGGTTATTCATAGACTGATGTCTTACAAAATAGATGTTCGTTATACTATTTTTTTAAAAACAACTGCTAGTAACAATGCTGCATTGTCTACCTGCCTGCTTTAACACAGCACCTTAGGACTGAGTCTTCTCTGTAACTTTTCCATGGCCAACAATAGCTACTTATGCTATTGCAGCTACCGATAATACCTGAAAGCGTCAATGGGGTAGGCCGAAGGTCTTAGTAGTGATGTTATTGATGTATATATATGCATATCGACAGAAGGTGATCAAAACATGAAATGGCAAATGCATTAAGTAACAAGATACAAAAACCAAAGGCAATAGATTCCCAGATCGCTTCAAGGTTCCCGAATAGAGGATGTTTTGGCTATAATTTTAAAACTCGACATATCAGCTAATATCAAACAAGAGCGGCGAAAACGTCACTTGTCTCCAGGGGGACAAGATATTACACATGTGAAACTCTATCGTTTGGTTCGGCTTGCCCTCTTGACTTTGTCTGATGATTAATGTCTGAAATATTCCCTTTTTAATTATTTAATTATTATTAGTCCTCAAATCTGTGTAATTGTCATTATCCCATAAACAATAACCGGCAACGCTGCCAAGGGTGAAAATGTCAATGTCAAAAATTTCACGACATGATGCGGACCACAGTGATTCCTAGGGTACCGAGAAAATCTGCCCAAGGAGGTTTTTTACGTTCTGCTAATCTTAGGCAATTCAAAAATTGGGTTGTCAAGGTGTCTTTCGGCTCCTTATAGCAGTTGGTATACTCAGTATTAAGGTTTCTGCTTACAGGACTGCATCAGTATAAAAAATCCCTGTTCTCTTTGGAAAACCCTTAAGATTTGCATTTAAAAATTTATTTCAGATTACAAAACTGGTTTTGGCGGGAAGTTTGGCGTACAGTTAGACAGACAAGATAAATCTGCTGTAGGTTGGGACCATCGTGAGGCTCCACAAAAGCACGAAAGTCAGACAGATCACAAAATCGGATTTGGCGGGAAATTCGGCTTGCAGACGGACCGAATGGACAAGTCTGCAATCAGCTATGAGCCGCCTGGAAAAGTTGGAACGAACTACACGAAGGTCAAACCAGATATAGGTTGCGCTAAGCCTTCTGATCTTAGGAAGAAGTTTGAAGGTTTGGTGAGTATAAGCTAATGTACTATAATGGGGGTGTGCTCGGTCGCGATGTTGGTTCCAGTCGTTTTTGGGGATTAGAACTAAAACTCGATAAGATAAACTCATTTCACGTGTAAAACGATGGATAAAAAATCTCGCCGAGGATAAAGTCAAGCCAAAAAATCACTAATATTGTGAATGTAACAGCCTGACAGATTATTTATTCTTGTCTTTGCTTGACTGGTTTGACATATATCGGCTCGCCTGCTGCCATTTCCCCTTGCATTTACTTTGGAAAAAATATGGCGGACGAGTATTCCTCCCTACCCCAGAGCCCTATATGATCATATAAAATATTTTCTTGGTTAAATTTTTTAGCATCAGCACAAATAGAATGTTCTCACTCACCATCCTCACTAGACACGGAATTTTTTACTGAATTTATACTAAAATGAGATCTGGTGGCAGAACCGTTTTCACCGAAAGCATCTGCAGCCTTATTTTGAGGTGTTGAAAAAAATCACTAAATCACTAGTAAGAATGCGGAATATAAATTGGCCACTTTTCTGCTTAACAACCTAGACTGGCAGGAAATTATATAAGTAACGTAAAAAATCTAGTCAGATCAACATATCGTCGCTTAAGTTCTAACACCGAGTAATTAAAAAAAAAGGGATGAACTACCAGGAAAGGCAACCGTGGTGGCCGGAACGTCGTCAGTAAACATTATGTAGTTTCATTTAGCGGCCAAACAAACATGCATATCATTCGATGGGAAATCCAAAGACTCGCTGTTCTTGTTGCTCTTCTAAAAAGTTGTTCGTTTTGAGCCACGCGGCGTTAGAACTTGAGCGACGATATGCGGCATTTTTTTATTTACGTAAAACTCCCAATACATACCAGATGTGCATTTAACGATCTGTGAAAAATAGCACCTTGTACTCAAACATGTTTCTCGAGTCCGATGATCACTCATATATTCTTAACTTGCTTGTAATATATATACAGGGTGTTTCAAATTCGTTCCTCACCATTGGGATCTCGGAAACTGCAAGAGATACGAGGTCGCTTAAATGAGGGCAAAGTGGCGTATTTAGGTAATCAACAAAATTCCACTTAGAAAGTTTCGAAATTCGAAGTGCCTCCGGAGAGAGACGGAAAAACCGAATTTTCTCAAAATTTGATTTAGATTTAGAATTAAAATATGACGTTTCGTCTCTTGTTCTCCAGCGTCAACATTATTTTTTCTCATGGACGCCATATTGAATTTTTACACAAATGAATAGAGTTTTTAATTCTTATACCAAAAATGTATAATAAGTCATACATTGACATTGCCAAACCGTAGTTATTTCAAAAAAGCGGAATGTCCTAGGCTTTGAAATTACCAGTCACACCTAGTCATTTGTTTCACATACCAGATTTATCCCAACTTTCCTGACTTTTCGAGGTGGAATTTCAAAATAAATTGTCATATTGAAATTCTAAATATGCCATCGTGTAGATGAGAAAAAGTTACAAATAAAGTCAGGAAAAAATTAAGACGATTCTGGGAAAATTCGGTTTTTTTCGTTTCTCTCCGGAAGTACATTGAATTTCGAAACTTTCTAAGCGGCACTTTGTTGATTATCTAAATATGCAACTTTTCCCGTATTTAAGCGACTCCATAACTCTTACAGTATCCGAGATCCTAATGGCAAGTGTCGAATTTGAATCACCCTGTATAGACCTTCTGGATGGTTTTCAACATCGTTGCTCCAACTGAATCACTTCAAAGAACCAAAACCGCGATGAAGAAATACTTTCATCGGATTATCAATGATTTTTTGGGGATGCGATCAAAACGTCAGCTGAAATGTCTCAATAACTTCCACAGATAACATCTTTCATCAACTAGTGGGTAACTGACTAGTGTTGGCAGTGTCAACAACCATTGTGGTGGTAGAGTTGCCACGACTTAGGTGTGAAAGGTTGTATTTGAATACCCCCTCGCTCTGTACAAGGCCTAGATAAGACCCAGCTTCGAGTACTATTCACACATGTCTGGGTGCCGCCGCCCGAACTCCGTGCTCGACGCTGTTCAGAGAAGGGCAGTCCGAGTGATCGATGACTCTTCTCTAACGAACAGTCTAGAGACCCTTTTGTACGAACGATCTGGCTCTCTTCTACCGCTATGCCAACGAGCTTTGCTCCTCAGAGTTCTTTTCCATGATGCAGCCGAGCGATGGACCTGCCAGACAGACCCACCGAACTTTGGCCCCTCATCCTAACCGTGCCGACCTTCATACATACAGAACTGACCTTTTTCTTTGTCCCTAGGGTGTCGAGATTGTGGGACAATCTGCCTGAGGAGACTTCTCGAAGTCTCGGTATTTAGGCTTGTGCCTACTCGGCTGCTTCGGTATAGAAAGGAACATGTGCCTAGTCAGTTGTGGTCTCCAGCTGCTTCCGGTGAGGCCGGTCCCTAACGGCTAATTGACTTTCGCTTTTTCTTACAGACGCAGGAAAAACCACCTGGTCCTCAACAAAGCATGCCTACTGCCAAAAAAGTACACGCAAAAGCCGCTCTGTTCTCTGTCAACACTGATTCAACGCAAGCACAACCTGTAGATAAAACCACAACGCCGAAACAGTTGGACCATTCCAAGACAGCATTTTTAACACAAAAAACCGCTACTCAGAACTCTTCATCTGAAGGAATAACGCCTAAACAGCTAGATCAATCCAAGACTGCATTTTTGACACAAGCCCAGGAAAGCAAGAGTGAGAAGGTGAGTTGTATAGTTTTAGTGGTAATGTACTGTATACGTATATTTAAGGGTGTTACAGAATGATCACAGGAAAATTTAAGGGCAGATTCAAAATATAGCAATATAAAAAATTACATAAAGTATATTGACTCTGTACTTCCCGCGCCATTCTGGACAAATGGACCTTGAATAAGCAGCATGTATACTGCTGTGCTGACAGAAGCGGTATTTGCAGTTTTCGGGCATATTTGGTTATTGATACCCAGTGAATCAATGTAATTTTTTAACTAATTGGCAACGTTTTTTGGTCGTAACATAAAATACTTTTCTTAGAGTCCTATATTTTTCTTTAATGTATCTATACAGATAACTCAGAGGTTCAAACTTCGGACGCCTTATTCTCGATTTCATGCTGAGTGCAGACACCACCTCGACTTTTAACATGGTAGTATAGGATCTAAATCAACTTTTGTACATTATGAAAATGCTTGTACCCTGACAAGACTACTGTCTATGTAGTAGAATACTCATACAGTCGTTTCAGTGGAAAACACTATTGTTGATTTGTTGTATGCGAGTCAATTTTCTTACGTTCTGGTATACCATCCACTGGCCATGGAAACCCTTACAGCTGGTGACGTTACAGAATGAATATAATTAAATTGTTGATTTAAAGTCTTTTTGAAATAGTCGAGACTGACTTTACATGATGAATAATATCTGGCCAACTTTCGTACATCCTGGTATTATTACATCGTCGCGTGTCATGGACGACCCCGATACGCTGCCCACGGCTGGCGCAGCGGCTGTATTCGCATCTGACCCTCCGCAGGTTAAGGATATGGCGTGTTCCTGGGTAGCTGATGTTACTGGAAACATAGACGTAAACATTATGCGAAATATTCGTGATATGTGTCGAACAGGCGGATAACACATATAGCGAGATCACAAATTTCTGAATAATTGAAACGTCTTTTACTGATACCAAAGATGCATCATTTACACGCGCTTCTTCTGTATAACCTCCGACTTTCAACCTCTAACATTTTTTTTTCTGAAACTGATCCGCACGGCTATTACGTACCTTGAAAAGTGACATCATGGCGATTATATTTTGACATTGTATTGTTTTTTTGTGACATTATGTAGGTTTTTATACAAGATGTTAACCTAGCACTTGGTGATGGACACGTTGTGAACTCGTTTTGTAGTTGTACGTATTGCCTAAGCATCATGAGGCTTCAGTTATCAATGTTTGGCTCTGATGTGATGTAAAATCTGCTTCAGAGATGGCATTGCTGGAGGTCTAAGCTGTAAGTTGTATACTACAGCTAGAAGGAAACGGCACTGCATAGTGCATAGTGAGGATTTGTGTGCTAGTAATATGTGTTGATGAAAATTCCATTGGACTCTTGTCTCGAATACACTTACTTGAGATTCAAAGCTAGAAATTAGTTGCGCAGCCACTTATCCATTCTGGACATTAAATGAGAGAGATAAGAAATAATTATATTCGTACACTATCGAATTTATAAGTCATATAAATGCTAACAGTAATTACACACAATGCGGGCGCGGTGGTGATTTCCTGTAGTTCTCCTCAAAGTTTCTGAAAACACAAAAAAACGTAAAATTGTAATTTATAACTTTGAACATAACCTGTCTTCAGAAAGGGCAACATATAAATACAAAACAATGTGTGTAGGTCAGTCATTGCTCCATAGATGGTCGCTCACAACGATCCTAGTGAGCAAACGTGGAATGACTGTTTGCACCCTAAAAACTACCTAGTCTGCAAGTTCACATTATATAGGTTTTTTGTCGATTTATAGGTTTTTTACATAATACCCTTGCGGGAGCCTCTGAAACGTCAAACATGAAATGATATATTTTTTTGTTTTTTGTCTGTGGCTCCGCCGCCACTGGACCGATTTTTTTAAAACTGCAACGCTCTCTCGTATGCAGCATAGTAATCTTGTGTTAAAATTTCATCAAAATCGCTTGGTACTTTCTAAGTTATAGAACAGATAAGCCGACGGAAATAAGCGACGTTTTTTCGTGATTGATCTATATCATATAACATCCAAAAAGCATATCTCATTTTCGATTTTTTTCGCAGTTAAAATACATCCTCGCCAGTGGCGAGGGAAGTAAATAATTTTCAGAGTCCGGGAACTTACCGCATTTTTAGACTTATATTTTGGTGTTTTTTTTCTTCATATTTTAACGTGCTGAATAGGCCCTTCAATTTCCGTGACAATATCCAAAAATACTAATCGTTGTAATTTTTAAGGTGGAGAAGACGACGAATAAGTTGGATCAGTCTAAACTCCAATTTCTGACTCAACAAGAGGCTTCTAATAATAATTCGCAAGAAACTGAAAGTACTGATGATGTGAATGTCGCAGAGAAAAATGAAGCCTGGCAAGAGGAACAACCTATAAATAATGTAGATAGGCAAATTGATGAAGAAGAAGAGTTATTGAAGGAATTGAGGAAGCAAGATGATGAGGAACAGATCTATGAGAATTTCGCGAGTCAGGTAAGACAACTTATCTATTGGCGAGAAATTTTACATTATATATTCCACCAAAAAATAAGCATACTTACCAAACCACCATCAACCACTTATGCTGACTATACTCCTTTCCATCACCATGTTCAGATGGCACCGTTGGCACATCTTGGATTGTTGCCAGGTCATATAACTTCCTTTTCGGTCGGTGATAAACTCTGAAAATACGAAATCTTTCGGATAGTTGCGAGTGCGCTGAGGGATAAACTATCCAGTCATGTTTGAGAATAAACAATTTTCTTGAAAAAATGGAGTATGTTTTTCATTTCAAAGGGAGTAACTGCGATCCGACTTGACAACATGGCTGCAATGATGGAAACTATGAACTTCCAAATACCAAATAGTAGTTATATCAAGAGCTCGTGGAATGTCGTTATAGTTCAACAGCCGACCGCAAAGTTTTTGCTACATCAGCGCGTACTGATATGATACGATAAAAATTAGTCAAATGCTAGCAGCAAACTTGCCGAGATTGCTATTTAACATCACAAGACGTAAGATCTGACTAGTTTTTAACATATGATATCCGATTGCGGCCGGTTGTTGAACTATTACTGGACATTCTACCAAGGATCCGCGTGTTTCGCTCATAGGTGTTGTCAAACTGACAAAAAATGTTAGAAAACGTGACATTTATACTGAGCTGGGTTCAGTTCTTTTCACGGTTTTTGGTGGTTACCTCAAAAAGTCATAAAAAATAAGTAAACATATCATCTCAAAGTAGGCCTAGATAAATGGGCAACTATACCCTATTGATAGCTGATTATCTAGTAATATCTCAAAATTCCCCATATATAAAACAAAAAGCTACAAACAAGTTTTACTAGATTTACACCTAATTCATTATTGCCAACGTCGCAGACCAACACAAAAATGTCACTTGCTGATCAGCTGTTCACCTCAGTAGATGTCAAAGTATGATGCATACTCGAGAAATAGGGTATGTGTCAAATACACTGACGAATGGCCAAATAAGCAATTTGAGGTTAGAAAATAATTGAATTTTAAGCTGACATTTTTTTTCTAAAGCAAATCATATAATATTCTCCATAAGGCCCTAAAAGCTAATTAGCTATGCAATAACCTACAGGTTTTGAGAACACTTTCATTTACATGATGCGGATAGCACTCTCAAAAAGTTTATCGAATGAAAAATATATTTTTTAGACAAACGGATTATAAATATTCCCAGCAGGAATAAATGTCCAAACAAAAGTAAATTTGAACAAAAAATGCTTTCACTGCAAGGTAGTGATGCACAATGTATTCATCCAAAAAAGATTATCTGTATAGCAACACCGCATTTATCTCTAAGCAATTAAGAACAACACGAGTTTGGGCGCCATTGTTTTGTGGACGCAAATTTTGTCTATATCTCTTTTCTCCGTTTAATTTATTTGCCTTGTCTAACCACCTTCACTTGGTGTAACTACTGTTTTCAAATACTACACAGCAGCCCAGGCTGCAGAGAAAAAAAAATGTTATTTTGATTAAAAAAGTTTAGCGGATATCTGAAAGTGTTGAATGATCTTTTTAATGACAAATACAAAAAAGATACAGCCAGATATGCTTTGTTTTTTATAAACAATTGAAAACCTTAAAAATCAGTGTTTTGCTTGTATAATTTTCAAATTAAATTTTATAAATAATCGGTAAACTGGAGATTTTATAGCATAAAAAGGCCTTCAATTTTATTTATTAACAATAAAAGTAGATAAACAATTAAGCTAAATACGCGGCTTTATAACAATATTGAATCAATGTTTATAACCAACTATTGCAATAACAATTGTAAATCGCTAAACATTTGTGAGAATGAGGGAATCATTGGTGTTAATATGCGAGTTAAATTTCAGCCGGATCGGTTTAATAGTTTATGTAAAAAGCTAATTGCTTATCCCAGAGACGAATTATTCAAACAACCTTGCCTAGATATGGTCCTAGAACATTTTACAAAAGTGAAATGGATTCTTGAAGGTTTTAACTTCAAGAATTTTTGCAAAAAACTAATTATTCCAAAATTTTTGTTAAAAATAATCTTAAAAAATAGGTATTTTTTATGGTTATAAACATTTACAATAACCACGTTATTTTTCAATATAATTTATTTTAACAAGTTGATCTGGATAGGTGGTTAAAAAAGGCATATTTAAAAAAATAGCACACTTATTAACACCAGTGATGCCCTCATTGCTCATTCTCACAAATTTTTAGCCATTTACAATTCTTATTAAAAAACAAAATTGAAAGTCTTTTTATGCTCTAAAATTTACAGTTTACCCATTATTTATAAAATTTAATTTAAAAATTTTTCAAGCAAAACACTAAATTTTAGGCTGTTCCCATTGTTTATAAAAAAAACATCAAATGTCTGGCTGTATCTTTTTATATGTTTGTCAGAAATCTGCTACACTTTTCTTTCACCTTTTTTTTTATCTAACCTGGACTACAGGGCTAGGCACCTTCGTTTACCATAATGCTACTCAACAAACTAAATATTTCATATTTCAGGTACAAGAAAATCCGATTCCCCAAGCCAGCGAAGAATATGAATATAGCCAAGAAGAAATTGTAGATACAGGAATAACTGCCATAGCTTTATATGATTACCAAGCAGCGGCTGATGATGAAATATCTTTTGATCCTGATGATATCATTACGCACATTGATAAGGTAAACATTTTCAAAATGATTTTATATATCATTACACTCTACTTTTAACGTTGAAGTCATGTTACGAGACAAGCAATTCAAAAATTTTTTTTTTCGTTTTTGGCTTGCTTTTTCCCATTTGCATTTTTTAGAAAACATTTGTTTTTTTACAGATTGATGCTGGGTGGTGGAGAGGCCTTTGCCGAGGAAGATACGGACTTTTTCCCGCAAACTATGTACAGTGCAATGATGAATAACTTTTAACAAAATACCAGGCCTAAGTACTTATACTTGAAATATTTTTCCATTTATATATACACCTATTTTTGATTCATATCCATAAGCCCAAATAACTATTGATTATGCATAATTGTTTTAGTAATGTTTTGTCTTATTTTATGTATTATGTTTGAATATTTTTTCATACATTCGGAAGTGTTTTATTTTTTACCGTGAATATCACCCAAAAGACCCACCTTAAATGTTAAATGAAACAGAATATGTAGGTGCCGCTCAAAAAGAACTTCAGGTTATCTCATTTAATGTCGCTACCTGAATATTTCGAAAACTACGCGTTCTAAAAAAAAGTTTCAAACTAAAGTGGTGGGCGAAATGATGGTAACCTTCAAGGCCATTTAAAGTTTAAGCAAATATGTTTAAATGGAACTCCCCCATTTTAGATTGGAATCGGAAAGAATTACGTCCGAATATGACCATGACTTTGACCATCACCATCACTTTTAAGGTCATCCCAAAATTTTACGTTTGAATAAAAAATTTCTTGCTCTGCAATTTCGGCTTAAAAGTCAGTGGTTTGCCTTACAAAAAACATTTAATATCGACTTCAAGATCAAGGTCTTATTTGGGCATGTCCTTTTTCCAGTTTCAAGACAAACTAGTTTTCCTTTGAAAATTTAGACTTGACCTTGAAGGCCATGGTCAAGGTTACCTTTGGATAACCCTCCACAAACCCCACAAATGTGGTGTCGAACATCTAACAACCAATTTGGTCCAGTAAAAGTGTGTTTTTCTGATCCGCTATCTGCCTTAAACATCTTGCGATCGGGGGTTTATGCCCCCCTGGATTCTGCTTCAAAGTGAAATATTCTTAATAAGATACCCAATCCTTGGGTAAGGCCTCCTGGGAACTTCCCAACATAGAAAATATTAGTTTTGCTACCATTTTGAATAGTTACACCCCCCCCACAGCTACAAAACGAGTTCACAAGAAGTGTACAACAGCTTGAGCTAAATTAACATCTTTTAGAAAAACCTACGTTATGTCACAAAAAATCTACGAAATGTCACTTTGCAAGATACGTAATTACCCATGATATCGTAATCTTACTACCACTGATGACAAAACCCCAACTCAAATTGCGTCAAGAGTTACATCGCAAACTAGCGGCTGGTGAGAAGGATACCACTATTAAATACATCGGTGGACCAGCGTAGGATTATTTCAACTTCCAATGGTAATACTGATTCATCAAAAAACGGGCCGAGCACTCATTAGAATGGACCATCCAGTCTGTTTGTTCCAAGCTCCTTGAACTTATCGCCTTTGGGAGAACTCTCCTACATTTATCTTGCTGACTGAACATTAGGATGATGTGGCGTATGGATCTATGTGAAGGATGAAATATTTTCAAGTTTCTCATCAGTTAGTGAGTTTTCCACACACCTTCATGGTATTGACAACTCATTCATCAAAATTGAGAATGACACATTTAACTTAATTATGCTGCATTTACAGACTTGTGCAGATATATCGCAGATTTCACCACACAAACAAATAAGTTGTATATAACCGGTGATTTTAATCTCCGCGACGTTTCCTGGCCTTTATCAAGCATACCTGCCACAAATTCTGCAACTACCCCTTTTTCAGCATTATTCAGCTCGTAGATTGTCCTACACGCTACAGAAATGACTAGATACCAAGAACCCTTGACCTCATACTTGTTAATGGTGCTGATTTTGTGACAACTATTGAATACTTCCTTTCGTTTGGAAATTCTGATCACCTTACTATAAAGTCCAACCTTCAATTCAACTACTCTTAACAGAACCACAGAATTGAGAAGACTTCAGACGTATAAACTATACCCAGCTAAATGCAGACATCGGTGGCACAGAGTGGAGTTCCTTATTCAATGGATTCTCTACTCAAGCCATGTGGGATATATTTCATGAAAGGCTTCAGGCGCTGCTCGCAAAACATTCAATCATACAATCCGGGACAATCCCCTTAAACCGCGGATTGATCAGAACATCCTTAAGATGATACGTCATAAAAAATCGTTATGGCAGAAATGTCTAGGGCGTAAAAGGCAATCCGACCACATGAATCATCGAAACTTTGCCAAAACACTTTCGGAGACACTGAAAGCAGCTAAACGCCAATTTGAAAATGATCTGATATCACCAAAAAACAGAAATAAGTTATTCAGATATATTCGATCTTCATAAAACTCAAAAGTTTCTACACTCAAGGTGCGCGATCTAGTTGATCACATCTCCAGGAACGCTGCGTTATCAGCAGAAGTATTAGGAAATGCTTTTGCTGAATACTTGTCTCCGGACACACCTTCTAATACCTAACCTAGACCACATACCAGCCTGTGTCAAATTGAATTCACCCCTGATGTGATTCAAGATTATCTCATAAATCTGGATTGCTGTACTGTAGCAGGCGGTGACAATATTTCAGCAATGACCTTAAAAAGTTGTGTCTACTCTTGCCTCACCTTTAAGGATGATATTTTCCTGTTCGTTCACTTCTCATTCACTACCTCAATGCTGAGATGATAAGTATAATGCAAAAAACTATCGTTCCATCAATCTCACTCCCATAATGGTTTCAGCAGCCGACAAAATCATACTTAGTGGAATGTTCAAGTTTGCTACAGAAAATAATATCTTACCAGCCAATCAATATGCAGATGTAATATTCCTGGGTTTTTCCAGAGCTTTTGATCGAGAACCACATGGACACCTTTTCTAAAAGCTGGAACACCTAGGAATAACTGGAGACATGTTAAAGTGGATAAGGGATTTCCTTAGTAACAGAGAGTTCGCGGTGAGGGTACGCGACTCGCTGTCCACCAGTAGGACAGTGACTAGCTGCGTTCTCCAGGGTTCCGTCTTGATATCTTTGCTGTTTCTGCTATACACATCGGACCTGCCTTGTGTCATATCTTCCACCTGCTCCTTGTATGCTCATAACATAACGATATACAATATCCCCAGTGCCTATAATAACATCCTTCAACGCGACCTTGACAATGTTCACGAATGGCGCAGAAAATGACTGCTGCCCCTCAACTTGGAGAAGTCCTATGTTCTACTCATTGGAAAGAACAATCCTAAGATCAGCTATATCATCGGGAACCAGGAAATCTTCTTTGTCTCAAGACACATAGATTTAGCAGTTGTTGTATCGGATAGTCTATCATGGTTCAAACGTATCCAATACTCAACGACTAAGGCCAAAAGGAGTCTATACCTTAGTGAAAGATCATTTAAGGGTTGTGGCAGTTCTACTGCTAGACTCTTGTACACGTCATACCTGTATGTTAGACCAATTATGTAATTTGCTGGACCTGTTTGGTATCCAACGCTACAAAATGACCGATACCTGCTGGAAAATATTCAGAGGAGGGCTACACGCAGCCCGTACGGTATCCAACTACCTTGTTATAAGGAGAGGCTGAACCTATTCAACTTAACTCACTTTTCCGATAGACGCTTACGAGGACACTTGATAATCACATAGAGAGCTTGCATGGTTTTTTCGATACTGGCATATCCTCACTTTTACGTTCCAACGCCAACCACCTGCGAGGCCCCAAGTATAAACTAATGAAATGGAAGTTTTGAACTACACCTCGCCCATTTTTCCTGTCTAATCAAGTATTTGATACCTCGAACAAGCTGCCCACGACGTTGTTAATGCATCCACAGTTAACGGGTTCAAGAATCGTTTCGGCATATGGGTGCACGACCAACTCTAGTTTGCTTATAACATGATCTCTATTTTTTTTCAATGTTAGATTTCTTATCTCTGTGGTTTATAGCTTTTACTCAATTCCTCTATTATGTATAATAATACTAATAATAATAATAATTTTTGCTGGGGCAAATTGTTTTCAACGTATACTTGAGCTTGACATGGACTTGAAAGTTATGGACATGATCAAGGTCATATTCGGATGTAGAATACCATCCTCTTTCCAATTCAGGTGGAAAAAATAGGGTTCTATTTGGAAATATTCGCTTAACCGTGTCACGAACAAGGTCAGCATCATTTTGCCCCATTGAAACCCTAGTTTGGTTTGAAACTTTCTTCTCTAGGACGAGCAGTTTTGGAAATATTTAAGTGTGGAACACCTTGTAAGGCATGTGGGCCCATATCGCGTAAGTGAGAATCGATATAATGCATCTAGTGCTACTATACATAGTAACCTATTCATTCAAATGTTGACTAACTCCATTATATTATAATTTCCTTTCACTATTATTCAAATATATTCAAAATTAGGTATTGTTTGCTAACCCCATATTGTTACATCGCCAATTGGAATAAAAATCGTTAGAGCTGCCTTTAAGGGGAATTCATCTCATTGATAAGATTCTTTTCAACCTTTAACGATTATGCCTAAAGATTGACATTTGTGTGTTCCTGGGTTCTTCATACCATCAAACTTTCCATCACAAAGTTAACTGATGGACGCTGGCGAGCTTTCCGCACTTTTTTCCCGATAATGACTCGGTGCGCGAATCTTCTATCAGTGTTCAGGAATACAGATTCCCGAAAGGTAAGTGGATAACACCCACTTTCTATCGGTTATTCTGCTCCCCTATTTCAAGAAAACGAGTGAAAGTAACAGTGGTTCTCATCCATGGGTAACGATCTCAAATTCTGACAGCTCTTGACATTTGTCGAACAAGTTTGTGAATGCCACCATGTTCGGAAAAAGAATGCGTTCCTTGGTTCTTTATACGTACTACCATATGGTTTACTTCACCTTTTAGAGTTGAGGCTGATCGATCGCACTTTTGCTCACTAGTATAACTTGAGGAACCAGTCTTCTATCAAGGTTCAGGATACAGCTTGCCGAAAGACAAGAGAACCACGCCAACTTTCTTTCAGTTATAAACTCCTTCATCTGAAGAATTAACCTCGCTGAGAAGTGTATGGTGTATCAGGACCTCAGAACTGAGTCGCAGCTGTGGTCGCGTTTGATAGAAAATAAGAAAAACCGATGAGGAAGGCTGGCCGAATATTGTGCCCCTCGATCCAAAAGTCTGGCAGATTCGACATCAACTTTTAACGCTGGTTGTGTTATTAAATCAAGTATTGGTTATGGGGTCGGTAAAAACACGGCCTAGTTGCCAGGTTTCGCATCTCCCCATTATTAATATTAATTCATGATGTATAGTTACTGCCAAACAGGCTAAGAGTCAAGAGTATTTTGACCAAAACTGTTGGTTACTCTGCCGAATGACGAGTCGTTTTTTGGAGTGGTACCTCTAACAGATGTCTAAATTCTGTATAGTTAGGTTATTGCGTTACTTTGTAGGCGGTGGGTTCAAAGTTTAAACACCATTGCTTTGTTACAATCATGTACATTATGAAGCGATGTGCACATTTCATTGTTCAATTACATCGACAAAATTGTGTAATTTTTATTGTTGAGTATAGTGCCAGTACATTTTTCAAGGACAACTTAATCGACAATCAATAAACACAATGTTTAATAATTCACTGAATGATACGTATAAATCACATAGTTTATCTTGCTTAATATTTGTGCATTACACACGGAAGTTTTTTGATATACGTATATACAAGCGAGCCAACCTTGTAACTGGGAGGTAGAATTAGAATATATCAAGAAAATATCCTAGAGGTGTCTTTCTCAAAGTGGGCGATAACGTTTCCTTCTGGAGGCTGGGAGGTTCATTAGGCGGTAAAGAACTTTCAGGAAATTGGAATGGATTTCGGGGTGATGTAAAGGCTAGTTTATGTTTGGCAGAGAAAAGTGTGCTCGTGGGGCGCTAGGTCATAATTGATCCTCAAAGTGGGCACTAGATGAAGAGTTTGAGAACTATCAAGAAAATTAGAAATTTGCTCATGTCAAGGGCGGATCTGTCTAGGAGGGAGCAGCGGTGGTCGTAGCATTGATGTTTCGGAAGTAGTTCATCTGGGGCAGGGGGGTTAGGGTTGCGGCGATTAAAAATGAGGGGTCTGCTGCATGCTTAAGCACTTAAGCAGCGCTCCTGACAGCAAATTTCTTTGTGACAATTGAAGAGCGGAGGCACACGTCTCGCGATTCAGGTATATCAAGGTTATTTTGATTCCAAGATAAAAAAAAATGGCAGACTTGGGCGCACCCGGCTCGCCTCCCCTCGAAATTCACCCTTGCCTCATGTCCGCAAAAAGGATCTATGATCGAACCTGACAACTACACACCTATAGCTCTACTATCAGCATCAGTAAGATAATGGAAATGTGCATCTCGACAGGCAGTATCGTCTACGACACCACCGATCAACGGGGAACATCCTAGGATACTTCACACAACTGATGTGGAGTAAACTCATCCAGTCTCTTAGTCAGGGTCATGTCATTGCTCTTGATATCGCAAAGGCCTTCGATCAGCTGCCCTCTTATGCAACCCTTCCTCTCGGGCCGCAAGATATCCATAGTAATAGACGGTTTCTCCTCTTCGTCCCATAATCTCAACGCGGGTATTCCCCAGAGATCGGTCTTGGCGCCAACACTGTTACTATTACATATCAACCATCTCATCTCGTGTACTGTCAATGCAATCCACAGGTTTGCACTCTACACGTAGGCATTCAGTGCGGCAAGCCAATCTGCTGAACAACTGAAGAGAAGACAAGCAGAGACTTCACCTTTGACGGAAGAACTGGAGGTTAGCACCGCTTGGAAACGTAACAATCTGCTACAGTTTAATACTTCTAAAACACAGAGCACCGAGGACTTGATTTGGTATGAACATATCTCGTCAATCGCTGTCGGTAAAAAGCTATGTTATTTGTTTAGCGCCAAAAAGTTATTTTCTCCGCACAGCCTCCTCACTCTGTACAATGCCCATATAAGACCTAGCCTCGAGTAGTGCTCACATGATTGGGGTTCTGTCGCCCCGACTACACTGTCCATATTCGATGCTATTCAGAGGAGGGCTGTCCGACTTACTATATGAAACTCCTCTAATGGACGGTCTCGGGATCTTTTTGCACCGTTATGCCTACACGCTTTGCTCATTTTTTAGAGCTCTCCTCCATGATGCCGCTGCGCGTTGGGCCTGTCAGACGGATCCGCCAGGCTTCTGCCTCCCATCCTCACTGTCGAACTTCGCGCTTCGAGAACTGGCTGGTACGACCACTCCTTCGTTCCTAGGTTGTCGAGATTGTGGCCTGACTGAGGGCATTTCCCGCAGTTCTGCTAACCTTAGACAGTTTAAAAATCGGATTAAGAAGGCGTCTTTAACCATTTTCTTATTCACTTAAATGCCCAACTTTGCCCCCATTTAACGTATCTCTTACCGTTTCTGAAATCCCACTGGTGGGTCGAATTTGATGCTCCCGATGTAGTGATATTGGGCTCCCTGCTTGAAATATATACATTCTGTAACAATATCCGTTGTTGGTGTGTAACCTCCTTGTATATAGCATATTTTAAGAGATTTCTGAGATTTATCGAGACATCTGCGTTACAGTTGAAGGCTGAGGTTGCGTTCTTCCCTTGAAAAAATGTCGCACAGTAGAATTAGTAGAAACACCGAGGTTGTAGTAAATATATTGGTTTTCAAGTACCTATAAAAAATCCATACTGATTATATGGTGTAAGATGGATTTCTTGGCAGGCGTAGGTATTAAAAGATTAAATTATTATTTTCCTTGCAGTATTCTTCCTCACCATAAACTGCTCTTGCTACCAGATTATTAATATTCATAATTAGTCATCCTTGATATTTGGAATGCGGACTATCTTATACTAGGTTCATACTGTATTCTTCTCTCCATCATGGAGTGGCAAAGCCTATGAAGCGCTTAAGAAAAACATTTTGATAGGGACTTTGAACTTGAAATGATGGGCTTAATAGAATCGTAAAACCTCTTTCGTCTCTTTTCGATTGGCTTTTAAACATGGGCAGTCGGTTGACTGCTTTTTATTGGCAAGATGCAGTATTGACTCTCAGAAGTAATTTTCTGTACCACAGTGACCTCAAGGGTAAAGCCTAAAAAGTCTAAAGCTTTTTACGGCAGATTACATTTCTATCTAGGAACCTTCGTACCGGATTGGCTTTGATGTACAGAGCTCGATTGAATTAGAATGCTAAATAGGCACCTGGGCCATATAGCGGCCCTAAAATGCATCCACTTTCATGGAGGAAAATCTAAAGGAACAAAGTCCGTTGGTCTATTATAGGAAAAACATAGATTGCTGGCCGTCTATCGATTTCATGTCATTTTATTCTATTTATATACATAACAAACAGAAAAAATAATGGACAAAATCCGCAAAAAGGAGGAAAGTGGATTATAGCAGGAAATAGGATAGGTAACCCGAGCGATACGTATTTCTGCTTGTTGGCTTCATCAGGCCTGAAATGAATGCACATATGCAACTACAAAAGTTGATACACATGCCCATACATCCCGATACGGGTGTAACCTGAGGAAACGAAGATAGAGAGGAAAAAAAATGACACAAGAGCCAACCTACACATTGTAGTATAAAATGGCTAGAAGACCTCGATTTTTTAAGGCGAAAACTAACCACAACCACGCGGGCGGTTATAGCCACTTGCCGTGGTACAGGTACTTACATACGCAAAACTCAAAACTGTGATTCCTCACTATAGGTACATCTCTTAAAGAGAGTGGCCCACGTCATGGACTCTGTGTCTCACCGCAATGAACTTCGCAATTATTACTGCGATTTATAATGACCATTGAATATGATTCACGACAAAGGTAAATCGACGTCTATCACAAGTTTGTGTGATAATTTAAAGTGTAGTAGTAGATGAATCTAGTTTTTGATACACAAAACTTTTATGTGCATCTGTTATGAATCTGTTGGGTGGAATGGCCCACGAAATGAGCCCTGCGTACCTCACAAATATTTCATCAATAAAACTTGCAACTGCTTATCGTAATTTATAACATTGTGGGGATAATCGTCTGTACAGCTGGCACTGAATCATAACAAAGGAAATATCGCAGCCTACACGACTTTACGCGATAATCTAAAGTGCAGCAGATAAAGCTAGGTTATGTCACACACGCCTGTTCGCCTGTCTGTAGTTATTGACCAGCTAAATTCGTCTGTACGTTCTATTTTAAACAGTAGCGCTAAACGAAACATGCAGTGTAGTGTCACGCGGTGAGACTCGCCGATCTTGCGATATTCCGATACTCAGTTTATGCAGTGACATTGCGAGATACAGTCGCGGCTTACTGCGAAAGTGAATGCGATCGTGATGTAGAATTACAAAAGCGGTACATGTTATTATTATGGCGATCCGCAAGGCCAAGGCTAAGCCTGGGTGTTTGTTCTATTTTCAGAGAGCTTCGCTAGGGGTGGTTACGTTCACCGAGACTATATTTTACAAGTGAGTTATTGGTGGAACAATAAAAGGAGCGAGCTGTGATAGGGGTGTACTTACAGGGCTGATCTTGTGTATTTCTACTCAGCATGTGATGCGGGTTTTTTATTATACAGGGTATCACGGAATGCTGTGAGGAAAATTGAGGGGTAATATCAGCATATTCAAATATGAAAAACAATTCATTTATTCATAGATGCAGATATGCTTTATTTCGATGATACAGGGCTTTAAAACTTGATCGCCTTTATTTTTAGCGAACAACTGTACGCCATTGGTTTTATCAAAAGTGTCTTTTCTCAAAGGATCTCTTGGAGTCTTTTATGTTCACTAAAATGCATATTTTCCAAATTGTTCTCCAAAATAATTTTTATTTCGGAAACGATCTGTCTGAATAAAAAAGATTTAGTTGTTTAAGTAGAATAGATCTAACATGAAGATACTAGGTATATCACTTTTTGCGAAATTTAGTGTCTTTTCTCAAAGGATCTCTTGGAGTCTTTTATGTTCACTAAAATGCATATTTTCCAAATTGTTCTCCAAAATAATTTTTTTTTCGGAAACGATCTGTCTGAATAAAAAAGATTTAGTTGTTTAAGTAGAATAGATCTAACATGAAGATACTAGGTATATCACTTTTTGCGAAATTTAGTGGCGTACAAATGTTTGATATGGTTAACATTTGTCGCACGGACTTCACTGGTGTATATGTGCTTTAAAAAATTATTTTATCCACTTAATATTACATTTGATAGTTCATTCGCATATACCAAAAGTCATAAATACCTCTGCTTTATCTGTTTAAAAAAATCTAAGGTCAACTGTCAATTTTTTTCATAATTCAAATCCTGGCGAAACATATTCTGTAGTGCCCTGTATACAATGTGGATATAATGGAGATACGTAAGGCGAGGGGTTAAGTGAGGTGGCAGTTAGTTTGAATACGGATGCAGTTATAAGGGGTGGCTTTCTTGATTCCTTTTAGAGCGCTATGTGTGAAATGTTATCGATTGGCTTTGCCGTTTTCGATTTTATAGTGATTTTAGGTGTAGAGTGAACATAGTGTCAAGCATTTTGACTCTGTAATTACCACGCAACGGCGTCATCAGTAAGTACATAAGGATTATGTTCAGCACAGGTTAGACTACCTCAAAAAAGTTTCATACAATATAAATATCACGCAATTTTTTATTAAGTAATAAAACAATGGATTTCAAGTGGAATGAATATAACATATATTTAAAATGAAAGATACATGTATGGCAATTGAAGAAAATTATGTGTGGAAAATGATATCTTGCAAATGACCGTCCCGTAATAACTTGCAAGTAGTCAATCTTTTGTTAAAATTCTCGATGACACGGTCACATAACTGCGGCTCTATATCAGCGATTACACGGGTTATTTCCTCTTTCAATGCTTCAATCCTCTGGGGATTGTTCCATGTACTTTACTTTTAACATAGCTCCAAAGGAAGAAGTCCAACGGAGTCAAATCGCACGAACGAGCTGACCAGTTGACAGGTCCGTTTCTGGAGATAACTTTACCATTAAATTCTTCTTCAATTCTTATGTCAATTGGATCTTAAATGCTTTTAACGAAAAATCCTTGTGTAAAATACGCCAAACAGTGGTTTGTGGAATATGCTCCTGTTGTGAACGCCGTGGAATCGACATTCTTGGGTCATCTTGAAGACTCACGAACTGCAGCAACATTCTCTTGTGAGCGGCCTGGGCGTGGACGAATCAGGTTTTTATGTCTAAAACTGAACCAGTCTCTTCAAATTTCCTCACTATTCTGGATATTGTTGACTCGATTATGCCGGTGATAAAACTCACGTAATTTTTTTTTGTTGTTGGAGAGAACAGTACGCCCTGAACTCTACCACATTTATTCAGCAGAACCAAAATTTACCAATATAAAAATAATATATATCTATAAATTAACGAAGCAAAAACAAGGTTTCTCTATAATATATGAGCGCCTAAGTTTTAAAACTTGTATGCGCAAAAACAGACCAAAACAGTAATTAATTGATAAATATCGTGCAATATGCATTTTTGTATAAAATTACTCAACTATACAAACAAAACATGATACACGATATACACAAAATGAAAGAAAATTTCATATTTTTGTAAGTAATAGATTTAACTTAAGATCACAGAAAAAAAGTGTCACAATAATATCAAAAAGAAAGAGAAGGAACAAATAGGCAGATCAATCTACCTCAAAGCAACTTAAAATAGACGCATAAATTGTTCACGATTTTCCCAACAGAACATATTAAACGAAATATTAATTTTTTTATTATTTCCAATATTCCTGATATTAGCAGGAATCAAATTGTAAAATTTAGGTGCAAGATATGTCACAAAACGCAAATTTAAATCTCGCGTGGTCTGCGGGACGTTCAGGTTATGAGTGGTGTTTGCTCGGGTCATATAATTGTGAGACACATAATTTGTATTTAATTTCTTACTTGCATGTACAAAACTACATACTGCAAGGATATATAAGATTTTAATATTGTTTATTTCTTGTGAATAAAGTTGCATAGTGGGATATAGTCTAGGTTTTTTTAGAATGATCCTTACAATATGGTTCTGCACCACTTTTAACTGCCCAAGATTTGAACCGTACATCCCACCCCACACAATTATGCCATATACCAATAGTGGCACCACAGGTGCTTTGTAAATCATTAATAGTAGTTTAATGTTCAGTATATTACGAAGAGCGTAGAATTATGAATGAAAATCTAATTTTTTGCTCAAATACAGTACATGTCGGTCCCACTTCAAGTTCTTATCAACAACAACTCCCAAATATTTAATTTCATTTACTTCTATCAAAGGCTCATCAATATTATCAAGTTTAATTTGATTAAATGCTGGTCTATTAGCCATGGTTATAGAGAAGGCAATGTAATGAGTTTTTTTTATATTCAGAGTTAATTAAAATGTGTCCAGAAGGTTTTTAATTTTTGCAAAATCAGTCTTCAATTTTTCACCCGTTGATTCCCATGTCTCTCCATGAAACACCACCACGGTGTCATCAGCATAGGCAATTACATCGCCATCAACTGCAAGACTGCAGAGATAATTTACATATATATTAAAAAGAATTGGCCCAAGTTTTGTACCCTGTGGAACTCCATGCTGAACCGTCTTAGGTTCACTTAGAACGTCCGCAATCCTGACACACTGAATCCTATGCATTAAATAATCTCTAAATACACTTAACACAGCACCCCTAACTCCATGTCCCTCCAGTGCTTGGAGGAGCATATGATGAGATACCGTGTCAAATGCCTTTGCTAAATCCAAAATCAAAGCGATGCACTTATCACCGTTATTTAAATGATACATTATTTTAAACGCTAATTCATAAACCGCATGTGATGTGCTTAATTTATTATTATTATTTACGAAAAACATTTTTATTTGAACGACCATTTTCACAATAAAGTTAAATTATCTGCACATGTTGTTCCACGCTGTAATTATCCATTTTATAAATTGCCAACTATAGTAGTTTACAAATGTCAATAAATCATTACATTTCTACTGTCAAACGCAAGCTAGACAACCTCACAAAAAATTACGCCCCTAGTGGAAAACGCATTATAAAAGAGAAATTAAACGGATCAAGTCAGTCAAACAGTCCCATACAATCAGTCTATAGACTTCCTTCCTCTGCCCTACCGGTAGTACGGTCCATCTGTCAGTGTCGCATTTCCCCATATCCGGCCGCACAATAATAAAGCTATAACACTTACGAAGTCTAGCACGCCTGCCGGTGAATGCAGAGAGCAGAAGGCCATAGACGCCCATCGAAAACATTTTTCTATCATTCTAAGGGCAAATGTACGGCGAAACCTCTATGATCTGTGAAATATGTCTAATAGATGGGTAGAATTACCGGGGTAAACAAAATATATGTATACTAACATGAAAAAGTTGAGATATATCCTTCCCCTCCATCCCTGAGCCCCCAATTTTTAACCCCTAAGAAAATCTTCCGGAAAATAATCAAGAGCCTTTGAAATGTTAAATAACGAAGTTTGAGCGAATCCTGCCTTTTGTGTCTTTTGGACCGCAACTAGAATTATTTTCAAAAACTACAAAGCTTTTTCGTCCTTGACATAGCAGAAACTTTGTGTAAAAATTTCATCGAAATCCGCCCAGTACATTCCAGGTTATATCGGGGTGAAGGATTAGCGAACAGACAGACCGACGGACAGGCCGGCGGAAATAAGTGATATGGCTTATCGTGATACACTTGTCTATAGCACCCAAAAAATATAATATTTCATTTTAGAATTATTTGGCGATTTCAATACCTCCTCATCAGTAGGCCTGGGAAGTAAAAGTAATGCATATGTAGGAAATACTGAGTCAACCTACTTGACCTCATTCGCAAACAATAAGCAGTTAATTTTAAAAAGAAAGAAAGCTGCATATCTGTATACAAATATTATTCAATACATATGAAGAGCTATTTTTGTCACTACTACAGAGATTGCATAACTGTTAAAACACTTGTTAAAAGATACAATCGATCAATTTTATTTCATATTGATTTATTTGACAGTTTATACATAAATTGTTCAATTGTTTTACAAGGTGCTTAACGCGTGCTAAAAATAAATATTCACTGATTTGATTGTTACGTGCGAGTAACTCTCTGTAGTATATTTTTACATAATGGTTTTAAGTTTTACATAACGATTTAAAGTTACTAAATCGCGTCAAAGATCCTGTCGTTGTACTGGTCATTCAGCCCTACTTAAAGTAAATGTCAAAAACTCGTGATAGTCATCATCATAACCTTGTTAGTTTTTGTTTGAATCGCCAAAATAAGAAATTTGTGATGTATTTCATTAAATTCTATATTCGCTATAATTTGATTTAAGTCAAAAACCAAATTTTTTTTAACCTGAATGTGCGACCATCAGAACTGACAGTCGATAGGTAAATGCCCAGCGAGACGAATTTGTTGTCTTGGCTAAAATATGTGATTTTTCTGATAATAATTTTATTATAAACAATTGGAGATGCAAGTGAAGGTATTTATAGTTAAAGAAGTCAAAAAATGTAAAAATTTGACTCGCAATATTAGGTTCTCTCAATTTTTGTTATGTCCC